GTGGAATTTCGTGTACTGTTGGCACTTCTACTGTATTTATTGTTCTGTTGTCTATGGCACTTACTTAGCTAGAGGCTCTGACAGCAGGAATGTGTTTCTGATGTTGGCCACGACGTTCCCGGGCATCTCTTCGACGGTCTTGAAAACCCGTCGGACATTGTCGAATTGCCGACGGCAGCAGCGTAACGGCGCGCCAGAACGTTCTGCCACCTGAATGAAGGAACGAACACGAAGAAAAATCAATATTTATTTGCTAGAATAAAAGCTAGCCTACTATATACATAACTGCCTCCGTGGCCGAACGGTTATTAAGGGACTGCCACGTAGAAGTCCAGGGTTCACATAAAACTTTTAAAATTGTTAGTACTGTAGGAAATAGTAAATGTAGCACATCGAGTATATAACCAGAAACAGTGACGAAATGTCATTTAATTTGTTTGAAAACTATTCTGCCAAATCATTACGATGACAACTGAGCTCCGATTGGCCAGCCCGAATTCGAAACAATTGACGGGTGACGTCAAATTGTTTTACTCCAAACGACCAGTTTAACTTAAGCTTTGCTATAATGGGCGAAAATGGAAAAATTACATATTTAATAATTAATTACCGATGATATGTGTTTTTCCCAACACCACCGAATGGAACAGCACGCCATTGTTAGAGTCTCTTTATTATCTTTATTACAATAAATACAGAATGTTTTTGAAATATACGGAGACGTCAGAAACGACAGGTCAGTTGTTGCCGCTGTCTATATTTCCGTGCAAACGAGTTGATATTTATAAGGGATGTATCACTGATGAGTTACCAACCAGGAATGTATGGCCCTTATTTAGTCTCTATTTCTAGTTATATACTCGATGATGTAGCATTACTGCGTTCCGGTTTTGAAGGGTAAGGGTGCTGGTGAAATTACAGGCACATGGGACTTGTCAACTTATGTCTCAGGGCGACGGCCGCAGTGGCAGTGCCCCTAAGATCTTTGTGATTTAAAGCTCTGGGTGGCTTTCCAACTGTTATGAACAGGCGTGTCGCTTACCACCAGGCGCGCGACTTGTATGTCCCGTCACAATTCAAACTTTACTCAGTTGGCATATTGTTGAAAGTTGAATACTTATAATTGCAAGTTACGACATTTTGATTTTAAATTTTCACGATGAACGATTAACACTTATTAACATTCTCCAAAATAAAGTCAACCATATTTCAGCAGAATTAGGTTTAATTTTGCTTCTTATTACTAAAAATCTATTACGAATAACAGAAAATGTCAAAGGTTATTAAACTTAAATAAAATAAGACAACGATGATATTAAACACCATCATGGATGACATAACAAGTGCGAGTACAGACATATATCTAGATAGACGCTGCAAGTGTACGTACTTCGCGTGCCCCAAGTAAGTGAAATCCACCTACTTGTCGCTGCTACACTTCAGAACGAGCTCGACCGTCATCGTAGATAAACACCAGTCGAAAACGCGAAAAATGCATGATTGTGCCATTATAAACTGCAAAAGCACCATAACTGTGGATAAACGGGTAAACAGGGACATTTCCTTCCACGAGCAAGTGATTTTGTAATCAGAAGATGCATAATTAATTTTAAAAACAATTATTTCGGTTTTGTATGAATTTCGAGAAAACCGAGTGTATTCCTCATGTTTTGTAATACATTGCGGCTTTTACTTGGTGCGATATATTTGTGATCCAATGTAATACGCCATGAATATCGAACGAATGCACTTTTGTATAATGCATTCAGTTTTGTGGTACGGCCGCTTGTACATTTCTTTGGCCAAATTTAACATTTAGTGATGTATACGTTAGGCAACACTGTTCTCGATTCTGATCGATTTTAAAAACAAAGGGACGAAAATTATTATGACCTTAGCAATATCATAAAAATATTCTATAACACTTTTGTTATAACGTTTAGTAACGTTTCGTTTTTTTTTTCAGTTTTGTAGTATCTGTTATCAGTAGTATCTGTAATTTCGATAATTTTTGCAGCACGTCGCCTCGAATGTCCGAATATAGTGAGCAAATAATTACATACATCGCCGGACATGTAGTACGAGTAAAACAAAAAAATACCTATATTATGCAAAGAATTAACAGTGAGCTGTCTTGACGAAAACCTGGAGTTGGTCATAGGTAAAGATGAGATTAACGGCTATATTCGCATAGCGTGCTAAATGCTAAATTTTTATAGCGCGCTATTTAAAGTGCTAAAATTATAATTTTTAGCAATTCAAGGTCGTGTGATAATGTAACGAATGGAAAGAAACGTGAAATAGTTGACGCGTGCTAACTTGCATATCTATAGTCTATCTATAGAATAGTTTACAGTTTTTTATGGTTACTTACGACCGACTTCATTTGTTTTGTAACTATTACATAAAAATAAGTATTATAGAGATAAATCAATGAGCTTCCCTTCATACTTTAACAGGCTTAGGACTGTCTGTAAATGGTCTAATTTAATTTACATAAGTCTGTACCAAATTGCTTAAATAAGTTACAGGCGTATTTAGAAGTTCATTGATAGATTGCTTTCTTAGATTTATTTACAAATATACTTACAGGTTGTCTCTTTGTTTTTTTTTTTCACTTTTTCACTTTTTTTTCGTTTGCTTGATATTTACAGATTTTTTACACATTCTTTTAAATTAAAATTTATTGGCATTCAAGAACATTATTTGGTTTACTTTCGAAGAACCTGGACGAGTACGCCAGTCGTTTACAATAAAGCCGGCTTTGGAAAAACTTCGTTCGCACGGCACAGAAGTCACTATAATATTACAGTGTATCGAAAACATTTATTTTTTCGATAACATTAAAAATAGTGTTGGGTATATGCACTTGTGGTTAGCATACAACAATCCGAAGTGAAAAAAATACGTTATAATTTTAGCACTTTTATTTCTTTCAAATTATAATTGCTATAATTATTTTTTAATTTAACGTTATAATTTGAGCTATATATTATATTAACCATCTCTAGTATCTCATAGGTATGAGTTCGTTGCTTTCGAGGACGAAGGTGGTCTAGTTTATTCCACCTAAGATGCTATCCAAATATGCAGAGTAGCAGAGTTAGAAATACGAGAAGTAATAAACAAATCACAAAAATTTCACACGAGGTCGTCATTACGTAAACCTCTTCTGATTATAAATAAGATTTTACCATATTTTGTCGGCAGTAACATTTGCATTTGTCTTGGCATTCATCAATTTGATCAATTACCAACAGAAAACCATCTAGTAAAATTAATTAAGTCAGTCGCAAGTTCATATATTGACATGCGTAGGTATTCACTATTTAAGTTAATCGATAAGATCTTCTATTACAAAAAGATGTTATATAATAAGCTCATTTTATTGGAAGGACAATAATTTCAATATTTGAAGTCTTAATATCTTTAAGTAATCAACATTTTTTATAAACCAGTAACATAAACTATCTCATTCTAGTATTTTTCTACTATATTGTTATTACGACTACTTGTAATCAACAAATACTTGAACAAAAATTATTATATTTAGAATCGATTAGTTGAATGGAATACGCGTGTTTACGCGCATTCCGTTCAATCAATCGATTTAGAGCGAGCGGGAGGATGTTCCATCACTAAATAGCTCTTGTGACGTCATAGCGGGTACAAAAAATGTGGCACGCTTGGTTTTCATACAAATTGCTGTACTTACGGCGTCTATCTAGATATATGTCTGTGAGTGCGAGTATCATTTTTGCACTTCAAAGTAGCAAAGACATGTGTCGTGTTTGTTACACCTATAATGAACTCAGTGGTGTTATATTTAATCTAGACATATTTCTTGGTTCCCTGCAAAGTACATATTTGCCATTTTATTTCTATTTTTAATATTCATACACACATAGGTGTATCGGAGTTTGTTCCCTTTAGTTTTAAGTTGTTTGAATGTATAAATACAAATGCTGTTGATGTGCTTTATGAAAATAAAATAAAGACATTTTTCTACTATTTCCATGGTACAAAGTGAAAATGGCGGATTAAGCTCAAATATGCGGAACTCCGCGTGCTGTTGGCACACGTACCACATCCACTAATCACTTCTACTGTATTCATTGTTCTGTGATATTTCTCTACCTTATGTACTTCAAAAAAGTATTCTGTTTGAATTCTATAATTTCGAGGGTTGATGAGAATATTTTTGGTAAACAAATTGTTAATTAAATTTTTATTGAATTGATATTCAATTATTTTTTCTGAAATTACTCCACTAGTTTGTTATAATTATTAATACAAAGATCGAACACTCAGAAAAAACACTCAGAAAAATTCCTTCGATCCGGTCGGATTCGAACCGACGTCCTCTTGCATACCGTGCCAGACGCTATACCAACTAAGCCACGGAACAAACCAACGGACTTTACGAATTCCTCTATGTGCTTGCGTCGTGTCTTTGTACTTGGTCTTTCAACGACTTTTTAGTCGTAGCGCCATCTATGAGAAATCTATTACAGATTTATCACCCAGTTAGTACCTTTACAGCTACCAGTCCTGGCGAGAGATGTCACTATTCACTGTATTAATTAAATTTTTATTGAACGTCGAACGTTGACGTCGGTTCGAATCCGACCGGATCGAAGGAATTTTTTCTGAGTGTTTCTTCTGAGTGTTCGATCTTTGTATTAATAATTATAACAAACAAATTGTTTTTTATTACAAAAATGCTGGCTTTATAAATGTATAAGGCCAGCAGGGGTAACAATGGTCTGACTGGACTCGAATCAGTGCCTACTAATATTCCGGGGTCACCTATCTTAACTATCTGATTTATAGACTAGATCTTACAGACCTTTATACCGGGTTTGGTGTTAGTTTTGAAGAAAAGTTATGACATATAAACTTTGCTGTTGTTACCTCGTCTAAGTCCTTCCTGTGTCTAGATGATAACTTGCGTCCCAAAAGCTCTCTAATAACTGCGTCGTCAAGGTCGTAATACCTGAAATGTAATTGAAAAATCTAGAATTACGCCAGGCCGTCAGTCCAGGTCCTTTTGATCTCACTCCTGATATAAAATTAAAATAAAATTCATGTAAGGAGCAATGCGTACGCTTCTATAATAAGATTCCGGTTGATATAAAAAAAATCGCCATTCGCGCGGTTTGAAACTTTATTAGTGAACCAAAAGCTTTATACTAAAGATTATTCAGCTTCTGCGTACTTTGATGACAAAAACCGTACATTTGAAATAAATATTGTAACCCCTAGAGATTCTTGCTCATTCTTCTCGGGTGAATATGTCTTACAAATGAGTATTAGAGTTAATAATAATCAATATGATATGCCGATTCCAAGTGTAATTTGACTAAATATGAATGAATGAAATAATATTAAATACGTACATGCTTTTGTAGAGGTGAAAAAATAATTATAGATACAGGAATAAATAATAGAATACTGGAAGAAGAAGAAGAAGAAAAAAGAAGAAGTGACAAGTTGTTTGAAGGAATTAAGAGAAGGGGATTGCCAAATGGATTCTGGGAGGGAATTCCACAGTCCGATCGCAAACACGGTAAAAGAGTTGGAATAAACGTTGGATGTATGAGAGAACATGTTTAGTTGAGGGTATCAGAAGAACAAAGGGGAAGGCGTAGTGTAAAAGAGAAATGAATCTATATACTCACTTTTCAATAAGCATTTGTTTCGTCTGATCGTCAATTTGGAATATCAATTGCTCGGATAACTTTGTCGGCATAGTCAGTAATCGCTCTAGAAGAGCGAAAGTTCTGAAAAGACAACATTAAAAATTATAACTTTTTATTCAAAAAAGAAACTATAGTCCATTTGTTTAGGTACTTAACTAAATGTAAACAATCTTGATACATCTTTTTATTGAAACACATGCTTTACAAATCAATAGGTATAAAAATAGGCATGCAATTTCATATGAAGCTAAGTATTTGTATTTTGTATTTGAAGGTAAGGGAAAATCATTTTATAAATGTATATTTCATTAAATAGACATCTCAAGATTGTTTACATTTATTTAAGTACCTAAACAGATGGACTATAGCCTTAACTTAATTACAATTATAATTTAATAATACAAAGATCGAACACTCAGAAAAAATTCCTTCGATCCGGCCGGATTCGAAACGACGTCTTTTAGCACACCGTGCCAGACGCTATACCAACTAAGCCACGGAACGAACCAGCGGACCTCACGAATTTTTGTGACGAGTGTCTTTGTATTTGGTTTTTTCAACGACTTTTTAGCCGTAGCGCCATCTATGATAAACCTTAAGTATTTCGTCACCCAGTTAGATACCTTTACACCTACCAGCCCTGGCTAGAGATGTCGCTATTCATTGTATTTGAATTTTTATTGAATCATCAATTACTTTTTAAGCTATACCAACTAAACGTCAGGCACGGTATGCTAGAAGACGTCGGTTCGGATCGAAGGATTTTTTTCTGAGTGTTCGATCTTTGTATTAATAATTGATGAAAATAATTGAATATCATGGTGGTGATATATCCTCACACAAACAATCTAATGAATTATTAAGTCATGGAACGCAATTTGTTATGATGTTAGTAATATAGTTCTGTGATGAATAATGATAAAATTGTTCAAATTATAAAGTTTAATTACCTGTAATGGTCAAGGACATCACTGGCAACCAACTCCACTGAGGCACTCGTCTGTTTACCCAAATTCCTCTGATGTAGAGTTGACACAGCTTCACTGGCTGTAGAACAGAATAGGCAAATTTTATTTAACATCTTTCTGATACAGATAAATCATCTCAGATACTGAGCCACAGTTCTTATACATTAAAAACCAAGGAATATTGTGAAGGAACCTGGGATCTACGGAGTATCATTCTCCTGTACGTAAACAACCAATATTTGCAGTAATGGCACCTTCAAATTTAACGCTTCTAGAAGTGCTGCAGTGGAGTGACTGTGGCGCGGTAACCTCGCGTTTTAGTAATTTTTAGTCCACTAATTGTGACTACAAAAGCGACAGATTAAGCTCTGCTGCACACGAAGTCCGTAAGCTTACCGATGTTGCTACTGCTAGACTAATTTACTTTAGTTACTTCCATAGTATAATATCCTACAGGAATCTCATGTGGGGTAAAGCACCAGATATACAAACCATATTTGTGTTGCAAAAACGAGCGATTCGTTCTGTGTAGAAAAGTTTAAGGAGACTGATATCATGACTGTAGCATCACAGTACATTTACTCAAGTATATAAATAAAATATATATAAAAATATCATTGACTTACAAATAAATGGACGACGGGTCTAATACAAAAACCACGAAAAAAATGTCCCAAGTCAACCTATTCGAAATTTAAATTGTAATGTCATCGCAGTATCGCGCTGTCGGTAGAACAAATGAAGACTAAAGCGGAGTGTCGCGCTCTGTATACGATTTTAGCGCCTTACAAGTGCGGACACTTTTTAGCGCGGACCCGACGTCCATATAATTGTAAGTCAATGAAAAATATACATTATTTTCGATAAGAAAGACGATATCCTTAATATTAATTAGAACTAAGTCCAAATTCATGATACCACGTTTTCATTTAACTAACATTTTAAACAATTTTTTTTCTTTATTTTTGACATTACCTATATATATATCTGCCATCAAGCATTAGTGTAAGCAGTACTGCGTTCCGGTTTCGAAGTCATTATGTGAAGTGGCAATGCGCCTCAGATCTTTGCTTTTTAAAGCTCAGAGTGGTACTGCAACTGTCATGACCAGGCGAGTCGCTCACCACCAGGCGCACCGCGTGTTCGTACCATCACTTTGTATTTATAAAAAAAAAACTTTTTTTATAATTTATTATTTTGTCTCCGTCACTCGACTATTCTATTCTATATTTAAGTTTCTGGCTGGCTTGACTTTGAGTCATAAACAAATCAATTTTGCTGACATTTTTCTTACATAGTCATTACTCAAGAGAGGCTAGAGTCAACTGAAATTTTGTGTACCAGAGATGAAACGGATAGTGATTTGGCTGGATACCGGGTACATGATATCCGGCGAGCACCTAGACCGGATAGCCGTATATCTGACCCACTGTCGTATACATGTCGCGACCGGCTTACAGCGCGCATCGCCGTGATTGACTGATTGATTAGTGGATGATTGCACTTTCACACTGACGATTTGTTGTGGTCTATTCTATTCTACAAACAAAATACATAACAGAAAAATGTAAACAGTGAAAAACATCGCAAATTTGGCAATATTTAAATATCAGTGCCGTTTGTTTCTTGTGCCGAATTTTGATATTTGGTGTACTGATTATGAATTTTTTCAGTTTTAAATATCCAGTATACAACCGGATATTGGTCTACTATCCGGCCTAATTGGCCTATTTTTACTATCCGGCCTGGATACCGGATAGTTACTGGATATCCCTTTCATCTCTATTGCGTACCGCTTTATCTTTCTAATATCATTGACAGTTTCAAGTAGCTCAACCTATCTCCTCATCATCAACCAACGAACTTGTCAACCCAAATAAATAGTAACAGTCATGACTCATTCAATTTAAACTTTTATTTTAGACAATATCCATATTATGTCAGTTATTTATTTGTTAGATTATATACATCAAGTACATTATACACTAAGCTTCTACTAAGACTAAAAAAGTAATAATATAATAACGCATACACTCAACATAGCCCCGTACTAGGGAAACCATGTGTCGCGGGTGCCATGGACACACACATAGACAACCACAAATTACGCCAAATTACCAAAGTCACAAGAGAAATAAATGTAGGCCATACAAATATTTCATCCGGCCCAGGAATCGAACCTGAGACCTCTTCATGGCAGTCCGGCACGGTAACCGTTTGGTCACTGAGGCAGTTAAAAAGTCACAGACAAAATAAAAATGACATTGGACAGGACACATGATGAGAGAGAAAATAATTATAAGTGGATAAAAGAGAGAGAATGGTACCCAAGACAGGGAAAAAGGAACAAAGGGAGACCATAATTTATATAGGAAGACAATTTTAATAATAATAATGCACACACTCTACATAGCCTCACACCAGGGAAACCCTGTGTCGCGGCTGCCATGCACACACACATAGACAACCACAAACTATACCCAAACTCACATCTGTGTGGCAGTCCGACATGGTAACCATTCGGCCACAGAGGCATTTAAATATGTTACTGGAGGAGCATGCAGGCAAATAGCAAACGATAGGGAGAGATGGAAATCTCAGTAAGAGGCCTATGTCTTAGGACAAGCTGAAGGCAGGTAGTCAATAAAAATATAGAAACTTGAGTAGTAATAAGCATGTCATACAATGTTTCCGTGTTAAATAAGTTAGTATGTAAGTTAGCTTATTTATAAGTTACGTTATTATTCTTGTTAATCGTCAATAAAGACTATAAATAAATACTAAATTTCTGGAGCCCATATGAACCCAGTTCCAATGCGTCCAAATTTCACAAGGAGAGCACTCTGACTTGAAGTGCATGAGGCATGTACAGGTCACGTACAAGATTTAGACGCCGAGTTTGCGCCCTACTTTACGTGAATCGACTGATTCACTTTTTATTATAAGTTAGTTGATTCAATAACTGTGTCACAATCGGTCACATAAGCATCCATATAATAACTTGTATTTAAACGAAAAATAAACTTTTGCGATTATATGTCAACTCTATAACTTAACTAACTACAAACTACAACTAACTTAACTACTTACAATCAAGACGTCAAAGCCCATACAAGGCAGTTTTTAACTTTCATACATGTGACACTTTAAAGAAAGAGTTTTGTCACGCATTATTGCACAACATGTGAACAAGCATGATAGCATATTATTACAGCCAATACCCTTTGTTCCCTCTCCATATTCACATCATCCTGGAAGTTCTCGGTGACCCAATATGCAAGGCAATATCTTCTGTTTGATGTGTCAGGACGTTACTACACCATTTTTGAAATGCTGCAGATTTTCTATGTTAGAAGTGATGACAACTCTTTGTATCTTTTTTTATAATTTTAAAGCTTTAAATCGCAAGATCTGACAAGCACTGCCACTGTGCCTATCACCCTGAGACATAACATGACAAGTCTCATGTGCCTATAATTTCATCAACACCTTGACTGTTCCCTGGGTGAATTCCTTCACAAGGAGCTTTACTGCTACTAAAGTTCAAACTAATAAGAATCTAAAATAAATATTGCGTTCTTAGGTTTTCGCGATTATTACATAATAGGAAATGAAACTATTTTTCTGGATTTAAATAGCGTATATTTGTTTTTTCAAACAAACCGACATTTCGGGCCCTTTACAGGTTCCATTCAACCGTGACCATGGGACCTGTAAAGGGCCCGAAATGTTGGTTTGTTTGAAAAAACAAATATACGCGATTTAAATCCGGAAAAATAGTTTCATTACCTAAATCTAAAATAAATATAAGAATAATATGTATTCTCTTCCACAGTGAAAGTATCTAAGTACATAAAATACAATGTATCTTTTTTATTGTAACACTGTAACATCTAGAATTAGCAATGTATGTGACATGCAATAAATGAATAAATAAATAAATAGTGGAAGACTGGTGCTCAAACTAGGTAAACCCTGTGTTATGAGACACCAGGTCTCCCTTTGCGGAACAAATTTGAATCCAGGAAACAAAACAAACCTGTGGTAAGGTTAAAACTGCTACATAAATAGTTAAAGTTAACATAATAAACAAAGAAAATAGCAAAGTCTTAAAGTCTCAAAAATGGGAAATGGAATTACGCAAAAGTTGTATTATTATTAGTGCATGAAACCAGTAATATTGTGTATTCAAACATATGAAACCGACACTAGACGACAGACAGTCTTGGTGAGATTTCTTGGCACGAAGATAGCACCTAATTTTATTTATACGTATGAAACATCTTTGCAATGTTATAAATGATATTGAAAATAGAAACAGCTATTGGTCGACGTGAGTGATGTTCAATCATTTGTCTATTATATTAATCATATTACCAGCCAGAAAATCATAAAGATAAAAATATACAATAAGAAGGTAAGTGTTGTACTGTGTGATACTTACAAGAACATCCTTCTATCCATAACTGATATATCTCAGGATCTATAAGTGTATAATTACTCACAAACACGTCCACTTCCGTATACATTTTTCTTAAATTTTTAGTAATTTTTGCAATTCTCAAATTCAACTCCCTTGGACTGCGGCTTAATTATTGGCTTGACCAGGCTTGACCACAAATTAGAAAGATGTAGGGCTTGACAACTCAATGTAAGTGTTGCCACAAACTTGTGCTTAAAAAAGTAAAAAAGCTAAAAATATTAATCCATTTACCGAAATGGAATCTTAGCAATGAAGTTAGAAGCAGATGAAAAAATCTTGACATTCTAAGTTGCGTTCGAGGTAAAGGAAACTTGATGCTTTATTTAATAAGAAATTCTTAAAATTCTTTTTGAGTACCGGGGTAACTTTATTTTAACTTTGAGGTTGGCATATTAAATATAATTAATTGATTTGATTTGAGCGTGACAGGAATCGTTAATAGTAGTTAGCGAAATATCGTAACACAAAATTACATATCTGTGTTTAAAAAAAATCTATGTAAATGTATTGAACGCACTTTAAATTGATTTTTTTTGCAATAGCGTTGCTTTTTTTGGCGAGTAAATTCATTACTCTGGATTTTTTTCTGTTAGACAGCATAAAATATGTAAGTTTCCTTTATATTATTATCAAATAATTCGTAAAGTATGTAGATACATATATTCAGTCAATATACAATCTTATCTTTTATTAACCCGACTGCGTCACCAAAGAGGGATGCTGTTTTTTGCGCTATTGGCCGGACCGCCCCACGATATCCAAAGTGTCTGTCTTACTGAGAATGATTCCATGAAAAATGTGTTTGAGTTATTTCTACCATTCACAATTTAGGTGTACCTACTTATTTTTTACATGCATACCTGCTTGTCTATTTCTTTAATAAGAACTGTGGTGTCGTTTTTATCGCTCTTCATTCTCTCTGTGTAGTTGGTAATTGAGAAGAATAAACTTTACCGTGTATATAAATGGCTACACCATTTATTTTCATTAATAACAGAATACTCAAAATAGTTAACAGAAAAAATGAAACCTAACTTGTAATAATTATTAATAAAAAGATCGAACACTCAGAAAGAATTCCTTAAATCCGGCCAGATTCGAACCGACGTCTTCTAGCTTACCGTGCCAGACGCTTTACCAACTAAGCCACGGAACGAACCAGCGGACCTCGCAAGTTTTTCTATATAAATGAAAAAATCCACTGGATGCAAGCAGCACAAGACTTGTCTTTGTAGAGATTTTTATCCTAAGATGATGATGGAACTATTTTAAATTGATTTTCTTGGTTTTTACAACCACATATTAATAACACAGTAATCTGAGCTATAAATATTGTGACGGGTATATAAAAAAATAATCTTGATTGAATTCAGTTAAAAACTAAATTTTTATTTGTCAATTAGTCGAAAATTTATTCATTAAAAAACTAAATACAATTCAATTCGTTTAAAAACTACTTTAATTACATAATTATACGAATCAACATAGGCTTTGTCAGGAAGACACAAATATAATTTAGCAACAGGGTTCGTCACATAAAAATTTATAACGCAATTCCCTAGACTTGGCCATTTTTATCCAACTAGTACAATGAAAAAGGACCGCGCTGAATCTTAGCTGGTTCAAACGTCCCCATAACACTGGCAGCATTACCATGCTGAATGGCTAACCAAATTTGTTGCACCCAGAAAGATCCTGAGGTTGTATTACAGCCTCTATCTCTAAGTCGACAACCCAACTCCCTGATGAACGATTCAATTGGTTTATTGATTTGTTTACTACAGGTATATGGTATAGATGATAGGAATAATTTTATGGAATTTCTGCAATAAGCCAAAATGGAATATGAAGTCAATTCAATTTAAAAAATGCAATGTAAAACAAAAACAAAAAAAAAATAATGATAATAATAGGTTCAATGTCATGAAAAAAAGTCTATTAATAACTAATTCGTACCCAACTGTCAGCATTTACCTCTTTTAAGGAACTGTCATTTAAATATTGTTCTGTTCCTCAACTTGACATTGCCAAAATCATCAATTACTTTGATGGGCCATAACATGAGCACTTGTCAATGAATAGGTTTTAACATAGGCTTTATCTCCTCTTTACAGTGAAGAAAAAATGCCCAAAAATCGAAACAAACTGCTCAAACCAGATCCTGAAGCAGACACTGAGTCCTCATCTCAAGAGACATTATCTAAGGATGTTGGTCAGAAGTCAGAAAAAATACATGAACAATCTCAAGACACGCTTAACCACTCCCAAGAAGACATGATGAGTATGTTCGCAAGTGTTTGGGTCAAAGTCGAAGTGGAGGAGACTAGTATGGAGGATGAGCAAGATGAGGAGACTGTGTCACCTAGAGAGTCACCTGTTCCTAGTGATGCGTATGTATATTTTATCTTTATTTGTCTGCTTTAAGTGATTGAGGACGATTATAGGAATAATTATGTAGAGAGTATTGTTATATTGTTTAAGTATTGTGTCAGAAAGTTCCACTAAACAAGGCTCTTCCTTGAGCACATAAAATGAGGGAAGGATTTGTCTCTTTTATAGGACATTTTCGTCTCATACAAGACATATAGTCGCCTTACTTTCTCAAACTCGTGTCTTAAAAAACAAAGTAACTAAAATACAAAAAATGCATTGTATATACGTATTTGCAGGATGATTTCACATCAAATTTCCTTCATATTCACACACTGGCTTTTGCCTATTCTTAAAGTAACGCATCCAAATTAATACCCTTGATATGTGTAAGGCGTTGATATGTGTAATTTTGACAAAAGCAATTTGCAAGGTTGAAAAAGAACTTTTAAATTTAATTATGCATTTTTGTGGTAGTCAATAATAACGTATTCTCTTTCCCTGTATAGGGTTGTTTGTATAATACTAACAACCTTGCAAGGCTATGTTACTATTTATTGCATTGTCACACTTATATTAAGTGGCTTAAATTGTACATGTGACACCCTGTAAGCGAAGTGATGAGGGCACTTATTCATTATAAAAGTAATAAAGTAAAATTGATCATATTAAATAAATCCTTACAATTGTACATGCATAAGATAAACTGAGAAGGATATCCAAATTATCTCAAATACTAATAAATAATAATAATAATAAAAATAATAATAAATTCTATTTTGTCATTGAGAAATTCTTTAATATTATTACAACTTTTCATCATAGACGACAACTTTTGTACCATTAACTTAATAATTCAATTTTACTTTCATACAAAAATAAAAATATTCTTTACACAAACAGTGATAACTCTATACTGTAAGATCCAAATATAAATCTGAGAAGTGTCACATAGTGCAACAAAAACTTGAAAGTTTTGGTGCATTTATTATGTTTTTATAAAAAGTTGTGGAACAAAAGTTGTTGTTTATGATGCTAGCAACCTAGGGCTGTGAGGTTGTTAGTGTTTTATGAAGAATCCTGTGTACAACTGTTATTTGATGAAGGATACATTATTTCATGATCTATTCAGTCTGGCTAATTTATCTATTGTTTGAAATATTATATCACAGAGTAATGTAGTAAATAGTGCCAAGAAATATTAAAATATAACATTTTTCAGGACCACTCCAGAAGTATTACCGGAAAAAAGAAAGCGAAATCCGCCTCCATCAACCTTATACTGTGAACTATGCAATTATTCTACAAAATACAAGAACTGTCTAAAAGCTCATATAATGGGCCATGCTATGATAAAACCTTATCCCTGCCCGTACTGTGACTACGGCACAAAATTCAGACCCTCATTACAGAGACACATTCTAATAAAACATGCGGAAAAAATGAATGAGCACAATATAAAACCAGAAACTTTCAAATGTGAATACTGTGACTACACAACAAACTTCAAATGGAATTTGAAAGGCCACGTACGAAAGCACAAACCAGAAAAGCAATACAAATGCACATACTGTGACTACGAGTCTGCATACCGGCATAACTTTTTGAAACATAGCAAAACGCACACTCGTAAACAAATTGAAAAGTTTAAGTGTGATAAATGCCCATTTGAAACTAAATTTGAAGGGCACATTCAAAGACATTTGGCTAAAATACACCACGAAGTCATGGAAGCAGCACACAATTGTGACTTATGCGATTTCTCGACGCGTTTTAAATGGAGATTGAACATCCACAGGCAGCGAAGCAAGCATGATAATGTTATCAAGTGCAGTTATTGTCCTTTTGAATCTTACTTTATGTGTCAGTTTAAAAAACACAGAGAATTACATTATTTGCAAATATATGGAGGAAGCAAAAAGAAGTATAAAGTACAGAATGTAGAGAAGTCAACAGTCGAAAATACATTGCAAAACCAAATTGAAGAGAGTATTGAACATTTTGACGCCATGCAAAGTATAGTTGAAAATAAAAATGAGGAATATCATTGCGATGATGAAAAACAAAGTGAAGAAATGGATAAGTTTGAAGAATTTACTGATAAATTTAAATGTGATAAATGCAATTTTGAAACTAAATTCGAAGGACATATCGCCCGGCATCTGTCTAGGACACACAATGTACTTTTGAACCAAGAGTTTCGATGTGATTTCTGCGATTATTCTACAAAATTGAAATGTAGACTAAATATTCATTTACAGAAAAGTTTGCAGGAGCTGACAATCAAGTGTCCGCACTGCGTATTCGAGACTTACTATTCGTGTCAAATAAAAAAACACGCCTCTGTACATTTTAACGAAATTTTTGGCACACGACAACTCATACAATTTTCAAACAACACAGAAACATCTCCATATGAACCCCATCAAAATACAACAAATATTCATGAAATGACTTCTGGACCTCAACAAAGCGAACTTCTAACTCAAGAAAGTACAGTCCACGCCATCAATGGTAAAAAAAATAACAAATACAAATTGGATGCCAACTCCATAGACTGGCATTCTATTCAAGTTTTGGAATCGGACAATAAGGATAAACCTTTTCAGTGCCACATGTGCGATTACACATCAAAATTCAAAGCTTCCGTTCAAAGACATTTCCAACGTTTACACACGGGCTCACAGAACCGACCATACAAATGTGTAAACTGTGATTTCTCCACTAAAACAAAAGATCAAATCGCTTTACACAATAAACGCAGTCAATCGGACACAATTCTCACATGCAAAATCTGTCCGTTCACAACAACTTACAAATGCCAACACGTTACTCATCAGAGAAGTCATTATATAAACAAATGTAATTTATGTAGTTATTCGTGTAGGCATAAGTACGAATTAATAAAGCATTTCTCATCATTTCACTTAGGTAACAGTATCAAATGCCAATATTGCGACTACAGGGCAGCCCGGAAAGAAAGTATACTATGTCATGAAACAATACACACTGGACAGAAGCCATACAAATGTGACATTTGCGAATACCAAACTGTGAGACGTTGCTTACTTGATTTACATAAGAAACGACATCACTACGTACAAACAGATGTCACCGTTGTCAGTCGAGACAAACTTAACACCCTGAAAGTTATTGAAGATTTCAAAGACGTGGAAAATATGATGAATAGTGATGATTATGCCTGTAAATAATGAACTTTAAGCCAAATTGCAAATTGATGTTACGTAAACGTGTAGTTTAAAGTATGTACAAGGTTTATGTACTTGTAAATTATGGCCTTCCGGAAAGGTCTTTTTTTAGTAACCAAAAGAGGTTACTAGGAAAGGCGTGTAAGCTTGTGCAAAATTAAACCATATATATCATAGGATTTACGATATGTTTCCAGTAACCGATAGCGAGATTATCACCGCTACATTGTAAATTCTATCCTATATTGAATGCATTTAGTGCTTAATTTTATATTATGGCAATGATTTCTTATCCTTGTTTTTGATTTTTAGTTTCTAAGATACGTGTTATGTTATACCTTTTCCGTGAGTTTATAAGAAGGCGCTGATCATCCGATAAAATATTTATACGGCAAATTGTGCAGGCTCTACCGGTCATAACAACGGTTCTGCTTGTCAGTTTTCTATCGGATGCATTTTGGAGAGTGTGCGCAGGAACTGCGCAACATAGTTCCACCTTCACCACTGCTTTTGGTCGACTAGAAAGTACGGTACACTCCATTCTTATGTCGATGATTGATCGATGATGACCGATTCGAAAGAAAGACAGAGCCGATAATCGATGAGGGAAGCTAGTTCTTGAGTGGAGACCACGGCTCGGCAAGCGTAGTGCCTACACTACGCTTGCCGAGTCACTCCATGACGATCAGCGAAAGGCTTCTGGCAGCAGAAGGATGCGACAAACTGAGGATCGGGCGAAATGGCACACATTGGGAAAGGCTTATGTGCAGCAGTCGATTGCAATAGGCTGGGGATAATGAAACTCATATCATTTGTTACATCGTGGCTTAACATGATGTGGCCAAACGTGTCTATCCAATTCCGCGCTTCATTTATATGGCGAACTGCTGAGTTGCCGTAACTTGAGCCTATTCAAAGCGAGAGTGAATAGGCATTATTTAGTGTGCATGCTGAGCCTTTTCAAGGCGAGAGCGAATAGGCATTATTTAGTGTGCATGCTCCATCGTTGACATTATCGACACTTTCTGACGGAGCCCCTAACGGTCACAAAAAGAACCAAAATTTGCCGCGTAAATTATTATTAGTAGAGCAAATACAAACGGCTTTATAAACTCATGGCAGATGTAACGAAAGTAATTTTGTCCTTTTTCAACTACTACAGTGTGAAAGAGGTGACAATATATTTTAGTTAAACCAAGTAGAGAACCTCATAGAGAATCGACGGCATTAAATATTTTATATCTCATTAGCGTGACCTAGATTCTCTAAGACGAATTAAATAGGCATTAATGTCATACGGGCATGCCATTAACGTGTAAGCTAGTTACCTCATTATCTTCCTAATACGGGCATACAGGTGTGCCATAAGATTGTGTATTTTGGCCTTAAAAAGTTGTAACTCTTTAATTCAAAAGAGAAAGCAAGATTTTTAGAAAAATCTGACAATCGACTAATTAAGAGTGAGTATTGTGGTCTTTATAAGATACGTAGAATCACTGTCCCCGTGCAAGCGGTAAATACTTCCCTGTCAGCAGTTTGCATATGGATGGGCAAGCCGGGTTGTTAGTCTTGTTTAAATCGGGTTGAAACTCATTAATGCCCAAAATCAAGGGCAAAAAAATATCTACAACTAAATATTTGTTGTAAATAGAGTTTCGTTCAAATTATAATAATAACGTACACACTCAACATAACCCCGCACTAGGGTAACCCTGTGTCGCGGGTGCCATGGACACACTAAGGGTCGTATTCCAGAACTTTACTCAATGCTCAAGTCAGGATTTGAGTATGGTTTAAAGCACTCGAAATCATACTCGAGTCCCTTCCATTAGGGTCGTATTTCCAGCGCTTGAAATCATACTCAGATCCTGACTTGAGCATTGAGTAGAGTTCTAGAATACGACCCATAGACAAACTCACGACAGAAATAAATGTAGGCCATACAAATATATCTCCCGGCCCGGGAATCGAACCCGGGACCTTTGCGTCGCAGTTCAGTATGTAACCGTTCGCCAACGGAGGCAGTTTTACGTTTTTAGTTGGTAAGATTTTCATGTTTGGAAGCACTGATCCCTGATCGGACAGAAAAATCTCAAATATATAATTAAGAATTATATAAATGTATGTAGGTATTAAATTAATCGTGTACTTATTATAGTAAGAAAATAAAATTGTGTAATATAAAAAAAACCGTTATTTTCATTACGCATTGTTGACAAAAATTACTTTTTACGGGGGAGGGAACAAAGTCTACAATCAATAGGGAGAGAAATGACATTTGAATTCAAATAACCTAAAAAACCGACCTCAAAAGTTCCTAGAATACATCTATTTTCCAAGTTTTATTGAAATCGATTATCGGAAATTGCGCGAAACCGGATTCACAAATTTAAATGGGACCAATACAAAGGTACCCTTTCTTTCCAACTAAAAAAAGAATCGTCAAAATCGGTTTCCAAAATGTCGAAGTTATCGCGTAACATACATACAAAAAAATTAGTCAAATTGAGAACCTCCTTTTTTACACAAGTGCACTTGAAATCGTCACTAAATTAAATTGATTTAGTTCCACCTTCCCTTTTCCATCACCGAGGAATTAGATGTGTAGGTTTGAGCTTTACTTCGTATGTTGTGGATATTCAGAGCATTAACACGAAGCATTACGCTTCTAAGTTTATATGGCGAACGGACTTATTCCCTGAACGCTATAACTTGGGCCTTTTCAAGGCGAGAGTGAATAGGCATTGTTTAGGTGTGCATGCTCTTCGATCGATATCATCGTCACTTTCCATCATTTGAGACGGAGGTGAATAATTGCGCAATAATATCTTATAAAAAAAACCACTAATTCGTAATGCAATTTAACTGGTAAGAAGGGAAAAATTCAAGGGGTTGCTTTTTGCAAATAGATATTGTCACGGATTTATGTTGCACGAACTGAGCTGGTTTGGCATTGGCAAAATAACGTCGTGTTTGTAAAACGTGTTTATATTTGTGGATTCAGAGTATTCCGATGCACAATCTTTAGGCCCGGCGCCCCAGTGGGGTGGTGGTAGGGGATCCTTCGGCATCCATACAGGGATGCAAGCGCTCATTGACGGAATTTAAACGCTTTTTACACTACACGATTTCAAGGGCCCTGCGTTAAGTGTGGGCGTGACCCCCAGTTAAGGCGTCACTGTTAATATCCTAAAGGTATATCTTTGAGTTAGGGTCCTTTGAAAAGTGTAAATAGCGACTGCCTCCCCTCGGCCCCTATACAATAAATTGCACTCTACGCCCCGAAGGATCCCCAAGGCTGCCGAGGCGTTCCGGTGTCGGCCGGCTCGGTATCCCCAATAATTGAGATTTCAAAACTATACTGCAAGGTCTATTCACCTAAAAATCCTCTGAGCAGCCATCCCGTCAGTAGATGCCTTTATTGACCAAATCTGCATAAGGACTGATGGCAAAATTGAAGGTGCTTCGAATAATAAACAACGTTGCTTTTTAAACAATTTTTATTAAATATTTTTTGTTTCTAGCTACGAATATAATCGCTTATTTTAATAATAATAATTCACAATTATCTAATATCTACCAACGTACAAAGTATCACAACACATTAAAGAATAAGTACATTCATACAGTCCGTTCTATAATTCCACATACTTTCTTATATACAGGGTATTGTTTTGTATTGAAAAAACAAGATTCCAGTATGAATAATAATAATAAACAATCTATTTCCAACTTACAAGTCTTATAGTATACCAATGCTTATTGTAGAAAAATTTATTCACGAAGAAATTTTGGGTTGCTAATTGTCTTCTTTTAATTTCAATATTAGTATTACCAGTTGAAAAAATAATTCTTATATACAGTCCGTTCTATAATTCCACACTTTCTTATATACAGGGTATTATTGTTTTGTATTCAAAAAACAAGATTCCAGGATGAATAAAAATAATAAACAATCTATTTCCAAATTACAAGTCTTATTATAGTATACCGATATTAATGTAGAAGAATTTGTTCACGAAGAAATTTTGGGTTGGTACTCGACATTAGCAACCCAAAACTTCTAACACTAAGAAAGTTGAAAAAATAATTCTTAAAAATTCCTCTAAACTGCGGCAGTACAAAAAACTTGTCAATCTTAACTTAACGGAAAATCCTTTGATCCGACAGCACGCCAACTAGCGTCTGTTGTCGTATCGGGGCCGCCGCTCTTACCAACTCGTGTTAGACAACCTTCATTTGCTAATATATCTTCTATGAAAATTATCTATCACTGTAATTTCTATTTAATTTTATTCTTTATATTGTTTGTCAAAAAGAATTACTTAATACGTTTTTGCCTTGTTGCCAACTCGTTGTTCTCATTTTTTGCCCAGTGTTAGATCGACTTGGTTAGAGCGATCACCCCGGTATGGCAACAGACGCTCGTTCGAGCCCAATCGGATCGAAGGAATGTGTTTGTTCGATCTTTATAACAATAATAATAGAAAAAAAAACATTCAGTAAAATAAATAGTTATTTTAACATTTTTCTGTTGTTTCAATACAAAGTAACACGTTAAATATTTTTACAGTGTAACATGTTAGTGGATACATAAATAAAAGAATAGGATCGGATTCACTCGATACACGTCCGATAGGCGTCAGACTTTTCCTGAACCAACTGCAGTGTTGCCAATTTATGGGGAATTCCCCAAATGCAGGGAATTTCAACTCAACAACCCGTTTGGGGATTTTGTTTGGTGGGGAAAATGCCCTCGCATTCTAGAATTTTATCATATTTTTGTTGCATTGATGATCACTGATAAAAACACTATTTAGCAAACGATATTAATATATTTTTCAACATCGCACATGCGCTGCTTATACATATAGAATTATTAGCAAACCGGTTATATGTATAAAATTATCCAGTAGATTATAATACTTTATCTTGTATTGTAAAATTGCTAAGAGTCTGGCTCTTAAATAGGACCAGTCGGTGCGTGTTGAGCGCGCGACCCTTCCTCGAGTTTTGACCGGTCCCCGGTGTGAAAGAAGAATACAGCTGTTGCCGAACAAAGCTTAGCAGTAGGTATTTTAAAGAACAAAACGGGCGCGGGGTAGGACACATACAAAATAAACGCAACGATATTTTTTTGAGCCCCTGACGGAGCACGGTGTTCACGTCCCGGGTATGTGTGGATAGACCTTAATACAACAAGTTGCCATTCGTCAAGCTTGCTGAGTTTATTTCTAATTACAGCATAACATATCCGTATAGATGGGCACATTTTGACTTTTTAATTATTTGATATATTTTTAAGCGTAACAATAATAATATAATAAATACTGAGAATGAATAAATATTATGTGGGAAATATGACCTTTGCTCTACCCAAATTTATAACCTTGATTTTTGGGGATTTTGAATAATTTGCAATGGCAACGCTGCAAATCGGGGGGAAGAATCGGACCAGTAATAAAATCGGATGCTATTTCCGACTCGGACGTGTATTGAGTGTTTATTCAATTATATAGTACAACACATGAGTGATAAAAGACTTGGAAAATATTTTAAATAATTATTATAACACTTAATTATATCAATACATTTAAATTATACAATTTCTAAACCAAAATCCGCAAGGGTCATATTGAATGCGATTCTCTTTAACCGTGTTCCATTTTAACGTGAAAATGGTTTTTGTGGTAAGCGACACGCGCCTGTTCATAGCAGTTTAAATCGCAAAGATCTGAGGGGCACTGCCACTGCTTGGCGTCTGGAATATCTACAGTGGCAGTACTTCAATGGATGAATTCTTTCACAAGAAGCTCTACTGCTACTAAATTCAGGGAAGTCTTTATTTTTTTTTTTAAAAGGTTGGATATTACAATTTACATGGTTGAAATTAGATATGGTGATGATTACCACCCCTTATTAGCCCAGTTTAGTGTCACAGGAAGTAACAGTACGCAATATTTTGGAATTCAAAATGGCCCTTGTCATTTTGCATAAATTCAATCAATCGTACATAAATACTTAACTGTATAATTTCTATCTATAATACATTTGTTTTTATCAAGTATAGTTCATTTTTTCATTTTCGAAAATCTCTCTAACTTTGTACACTATATCAATGCGAATTTTGTTACAGAAAATGCAATATTACTAAATGGGTTTAAAAATGTTTACAATTTATATTAAACTCGTAAAAATACGGCACACCTATGTTACACTCGATGTGTGGATCGCTGTACTTACAATTTAAATGCATTTTCTTTAACTGCTTTTTAATTTAAAAAAAGGAATGTTCTAAGACTATCACTGACATTATAGTACTCACGTTTTATGCGTGATCGGTTAGTTATATAAAGCTGAACCTATACTACCGCCTCGTAGGCTGAAAACAACCCGATGGTTGTTGACATCTTTCCGGCAAAATGTTGCTATTTTAATCAACATTCCTACTAATTAGCTGTCAAAGTTTTGACAATGTTGCCATTTTAAGCAATTTTTGCTTGCTAAATGATAGCGCTAAGGTCCACTTAACATCAATATAAGTGATCTCAGTAGAACAAATTACATTTTAAAACTCTCAACTTTGTCGGTATTTAAATATTGTGTGGGATATACGAATTACAAATAGTAATTTCATGTTTTTCCCATTATTAATTTATTAATCATAGCAACACCAAGGCACTGTAGACCTTGCATGTTTTTTTAATCTAGTTATTATGTTAGTAACTAGCTCTATTTTCACAGCAATTTGAGAGTTCAATAAGATTTAGACGTCTGTGCGGACGCGTAGATTAGAATACTCGAAATTTGCAATTTCCAAAATGATTAACCCGCCCGAATAACCTCTTATATGTAATCTCTTAGAAATTGGCATCTCAATAAGTTTCATGCCGAACATAGAAGATATGCGTGCATTCAAAATTTTATTATAATAAATCGAAATTTTAATTTCTTATTAAGAAAAAATACTTTAAGACGTTTGTACTATATAACTTTTAAACAATTTTATAATCGATCGATTGTGATAATGTTTGAATGTTACTTTGTTTTAACGTATAAGTATAAAAAATTTAGTTTTTGTCGTCTACTTGTTCCACAGACCCTGAATACCTGAATACCTAAGTTGAATTTGTAGAAATATTTCGACTCCTCCTACGTAAAGTATCGTATGTCAGAGCGTAGAGTATTACAAAATCCTAGATATCGGTTAGATGATCTATTGATGAGGGAATTCAGAACTTTAAAAGGCTCCCCTGTAAACTTGGCAATTTCGACATAAGTTACTTTACGTAGGAGGGGTCGATTTGTGAGGATATTGATATATTTTTCACAAGTGGAGCCGTCTCTATTGGAAAATTTGGCAACATTGCGCCCTGAATGGTGAGGGATTGTGAAGAGGCAAGTCCACCAGTTTACAATTACGTTGGCGGTGATCTCATGTGTCATCAATGTGCACGATGGTTCGCTGCGAAGATGGCTACATCAGTCATCTTCGAGCACGCCAGGGCAAGGAGTCGAAGTGGTCGCAATGACCAAACAGGGGCGGGTTGGACTCGAATTGGGACAACGTGATCTGTGTCGAATGTGGTCTTTATTTTAATTTGTGCCTTATTATTTGAGACTTATATTGTGTAGTTATTGCTCAGACGTGTTTCTTGATATCAGAGAGGACTATGTACTCCATAATTGCATTATGTTTTGTTTTGTCAGATAAAGTAATTTTTGTGATGACTCATTAATGTCCATTTATATTTCCAATTTCCGGTTAAATACATAAACCATGGACTTCAACATGGGCACACCCCATCATTATGGGTAACGGGTGTGTAGTGGTATAGTGTTTTTAGGAAAGTTGATTTCACGTTGAATTGGGCTTTCAAGTTGGACGGTTAGTAGGCTGGATTTTTGTCTAGTTTTTACTTCTAAACGACTACTAAGGTGTGAACGAGACAGATATACAACATCCAAACATCTCTTATGTATAAACCGAATTTTTTTTATAAATTGCACGACTTTGATTATGAAAAATTATTTAATGAATTTAAGTAAAGATTAAAGCTAAACAGTCTATCTATTAGTGTGTTTTATATAGACAACTATTTTAACGTTCAATTATTTAGCGTGAAACAAAGAAAGCGGGTGCGGGTCGGGCGCATGGCGGGTCGGGCGCGTGGAGGGTTGGGCGCGTATCGGGTCGATCGTGTATCGTACGCGTGCGATGTGTTGTCGTCCATATAAATACTCGTAATTAGCTTCCGTGCTACAGACCCGGCACGCGCCCGACCCGACACGCGCCCGACTCTCACCCGTACTCTGTGTGTTACACGCTTTAAACCTTACAAGCGAATACGGTTTGGATAAATAATATTTATAGTAACTGAAATCACAGTACATTGCCGGAACATTGTTGAGATCTGAAGACTGAGTGCTTCATTTGGGAAAAGGCTAAAGACAGTAACTTTTTTGGCTAATGTATTTACGACAATTTATGACGACATTTATGAGTCAATGTCTAAAATCAAAGTCATCAGGTCACTTTCCGAGTTTATCCCGATTTTGAATATTTATTCACTACATCTGCATAAATAATGCGATTTAATTTCAAATATTGATACTTATGTCCTTATCCATAAAGCCTTTGTTACTGATTCTTATTTACTTATTAGTTGATAAAGGCATTTTCAGGCAACCCTACATCTTTTACTATAAGGACGACTAGTTTTACTATAGAGATTTTTTAAATCCCCATAGTAAAAAAACATTGTTTTCGTGTATTTTTTTCTCAACTTCCTTATAGTAAAAGCTGTTTCTCTCTCTCTCTTTCTAAACAGACTTTAAGTATCAGTACAAGGTATCCCTTTTTAACTAGAGCTACCGAATATGCTACTATAACTAACTACACTAGATTACACTTTAATTTCAACAGTTGAAATATCAAAAGTATATTGACATACTGTTTTGCTAACAACTTATGATATAGGTGTTGCTGTGTCTACGAGTTATCACCAGAGGTTGGAATAAGCAAGAGTATACTAACTTTAGCTTCAAGAAAGTGACACACATAGATTGATATCTCGAATTTATTATATTTTGGTAGACCAAATGGGAAAGTAGACCAAACAGGAAGTAGACAAAATAAGAAAGTAGGCGAAATAGGAAATAGACGAATTGGGAAAAACAAGTGGACCGATCGGGAAAGTAGATCAATTGTACCGGTTGTATACTTTTGATGTGTAACTAGAAATAGGTTAGTGTCTTTATAAGTAAAGTTTTGTAATTTTGGTTTTTATTTTTAACAGAGTTCGAAATTATGAATATGCTTTGATAATTATGATATTTATAAAATTTATTAGGACAATAAAATGCTACCGCTAGCAATATCGCACTGTGTGGCTGTATCAGAGAAGAATCCAAACGTGATGTCAATTAAAAAAAAAGTATCTCTTATATAAACAATAAGAAACGACGATTTCGTGCCCCGATTGTTAATCACTCTGATACTTCAGAGGGAGGTATTATTCCTTCTATGTGTATCACTTGAAGTTTTGGTAAATACAATCTCGTCTATTACGATGCATTATCATTACGTTGGTGGTACTGTAATCATCGCATACAGTGAAAGTGGGAGTTTTAGTTTGTGTATAATGTGTATGTGAGGCGGGAGTTAGTTTTGAGTAATTAGATATTATCACAATATAAGTAGACGTTGTTTGAGCCATAAACAAAATTAATATGATTAAAACAGATATTGTCGCTTGGTAAACAACACCGCTCTAATCGTTACTAGTAAGTTCAAAGGAAAAAAACTTCATATCGCATTGCCATTACAATAAATAGCGTTGTAACTCAAAATACGTGAAATTCAAGATTATATCATTTCTGAACGTTAAATTTGTTTCTCTACACGTCAATAAAATTGTCATTAGAATATTGTAAGAAACTATGAAAATATATCTACATAACCCAGAATGAGACAAGGAGTAGTCCTTGCTGACTAGACTGGATTAAACAGTCCTTACTAAAAAAAATAATTTTTAATTTTATTTTCAAATATACTTGTAATTGGCAAATAAGAGTTGTTTAGATGTCTAATAAATTTTAACCTAAACATAATGATAATTTTTCACGGGAACTGAGTAATTACTTTTTCAGCTAATCGGAATAAATTCAGTTTTTGAGTTAATCCACTATTGCATTAGCAGTGCGATATATATTCCCACATACAAGATTTTTTCATACGCGCATAACTTTAACATATAACTCTATTGTGTAATGTACAAATAAAATACGACCCAAAAACTGGTCGCGCGTTGTCGTAAGAATTATCGCGAATAATTCGGACTACCCCCTTTCTCCGCATATAACTTTCACTGTCAAATAAGTAACACGAAAGGCGAATGGAAAAAATAAAATGGATTGAAAAGACATCACATGAGGAAGTTTTGGAAAGGGTTGGAGAGAGAAGACTTTTGAATGCAATAAGGATGAGATGGGGGAAAATGTTTAGACATTTGTTGCTTAATGACGAATTTGTGAGAGTGTGGATTGAGGATGGAATTGAGGTGAGGATAGAAGGGAAAAGAAAGATAGGAAGACCAAGAATGAAGAAGTCTGGCTCTTAAATAAGATGATGTAGTAATACGCGTTAAGTTAAAAAACAATGTCAATTATGAAGCTTCATTCGCATCATGCGTTTGGTCGAGTATTATTACTTGTACAAGAATTGTTACGGACGGAGAAAAGGTATCGACCGCCTAGCTTGTCTGTTACACAATTTTCTCGTCATAAGAAATAATTATACGTGTAATGGTATTCGCGTTATGTTTCAACTTGGTTAACGACCAAAAGTAAAAATGGCCATTTTGGACTTACGCCGTTTTCTTTGCTAAGCAACAACACAAATGTTGTAATTGTAAAATGATATCACTTAAGTATTTTTAATCACTTATCGTCATCGAGTATGTAACCAGAAATAGAGACGAAATAAGGGCCATCCATCCCTGACAACTCATCAGGCAGGGCCTTTTATATCACTTTTAAATATCTCGTTTGCGCTAAAATTACAAATTAGAAAGCTGAAAAAGTACAGCGCCAACAACTGACCTGTGTGTATGTCTCCGTATATTTTCAAAATATTCTGTATTTATTGTAATAAAGATAATATCCCTAACAATGGGGGCTGTTCCATTTGGTGGTGTGGGAAAAACAGCAAAACATCTAATTACAAAACAAACGGAATCATATTTCATCGGTAATTAAAAATTTAATTAAGTAATTTTTCAATTTTCGTCCATTATAGCAAAGCTCAAGTAAACTGGTCGATTTAAAGTGAAACAATTGACACCCGTCAATTGTTTCGTATTCGGGGTGGCTGGTGGTTGTAACCGTAATGATATGGCAGAATAGTTTTCAAACAAATTAAACGACATTTCGTCTCAATTTCTGGTTATATACTCGATGCTTATCGTATACAATGTCTTGATTTGCAATCTCGCCATATTTACAGAGGTCATTCTATATCCGAAACTGAACCCAAATCACAAAAAAAATAATTAAAAAAAAATTCCTAAATTCTTATTTTTTATTTAATTGCGGTAACCAAGTTTGATCCAAAGGACTTGCACTACACGTGCCAAAAAAACTGCTACCATGTGCATTACCATCAAGTGCGTTCTTATGGCATGATGTGAAACGTTTAGTTTACGCAGATTACGAGTGTCGAAGAATGCGCGCATAATCGTCTCTGGTTTCTTTCTGCTTTTTCTGTTGTGAAAAATGTGCTAAGTAGAAACGAAACTCTGCATATCTGTGGGCCCTGTGTCTGGCTCCGGTATGGAGCCTGCCACCAGCTGTGGAGCTAGGTACTTCTATTACTACTTTCATGTAACCTAAAGTTGGTAAGTACCAAATCTAAGATACAAAAAATCTTATTTCAGTCAACTTTTCTAAGTAATGTAAATAATTAGTAATTATAACAATACGTGTACTAAATATAATTTAAAAAATAGGTAAATAAGCGATCGAGATAGATTACGTATCGCTTGGTGAAGTGAGTGGCGGTGGTCACTGTCCTCCGCGGTGAATACACTTGGGGGACAATTTTACAAAACTTTACTAGATACAATTAGCCAGAATTTTGAACTGAATATTTTTTTTTATATTTTTAGATGATTTAGCATTTTTTCTATTATTAATTTCTTAAATATGGCGAGAATGCAAATCAACACAATGTATAATTGAGAGGTTAAAAATGAACTAGGAAATTATATTTCTTTTATTACTTTAAACAATGCTACAGTTATCAATTGAACTGTAGTTTTTCGTTCAAAAAAAGATTTTGGTAGAAACAAGGTGTATCTTATTTCATAATCTATACTTAGTGATTTTTTCTTATTTTGTATACTAAATTGTAGTTTAAATTTAATGGTACAATTTTTACGTAAAGTGGTAGGGAAATAATGGAATAGTAGAATGATGGGAGGGAATTGGAACTAGCAGAGCTCCACCAACGGGAGCTCTTTATTATTTGTACAGTCAATGTCAGTTCTTTTACGAATTATTTCTGTGGTTTGGTTACAAGAAGCACGTAAGCAATAACACAAACAGGACTTTGAATCGCGATTAGAGACAGCGTAACCGGGTATTTAGTACCTATTCGTACACCAGATGTCGCGACAACTACCATAATTATAGTTATTTTTATAACTAATTTGTTTTACATTGACCAGCTGCAATTCATCAAAGTTGTTCTAGTTCCTAGTGATAACAATCAAATCGACTAGAAGGCGCTTATTGCACAGATTTTTATGGATAGTGCCGGTTATTACTTCAAAAACTGACTTTTAAGGTCGATTTTTTTAGTACTCTGAACTCAGATAATTTTATTTAGAATTGGCGCCATCTACCCATATTAGGAAGCTTTAATTTATAAATTAGTTTGTAACACACAATGCCATCTATTGACACGCATATCAATACCAGAAGTATCAATTAACGTAAGGGACATTTTGTCGAAAATGAGTTGCATATATCATTGAACTCGGAACTTCCCGCTTTATCGATTGGTATAATTAAAATTTAGGGATGCCCAGTGGTTTAAAATATAGCATGACACTTACATTAAAAAAACATTAAAAAAAGATGTTCACTTGTGCCTTACATTACTAACATTTTATGTGTAAGCCGTCGAGCATAGTGTAAGCAGTAACAGAAATAGAAAATTATATGTAATTCTATTGTAAAGGGTAGAATTACGCATAATTTTCTATTTCTCTTACTGCTTACACTATTGTAAAGGATAGATTTTTTGCAATATTTTAAACCACTGGGCATTCCTAAATATTTCGTTTATAGCATGAAAGAAGAGGAAATTCTAAGAAATTTTGCTATAGACACAATCTCAAATTGGAACAGAATTTAAAAAAAATCGTGTTTTTGGCTCTCCTGAAAAACCGTGGTTTGTCCCCTACATTAACTGGTACTTTACATGTGTAGCATGGCTACGCAAGATAGTCGCGACACGCGCGATAAAATTGAAATAAGCGCGCGCTATTATCTGTCTCAATCAGATCTAATTTAGATAGCCAATAGGACTATTTTTTGTCAAGGTTCAGAAAACATTTGTGGTCAATATTTGAATAAAATTACAAGGAAAATAACTAATTATATTAGATATTAAAGAGGAATTAATCGACGTCCACGGCCATTTGCATAATATAAACAACTTCCAGGCCATTGAACAGCGCCATCTAGTTATATAAGACGGAATTTTGACCTTTTTCAGAGTTACGATCTGTAGTGTGGACATTAGCTGTCCTGTTGAGTAACTGGTCCATGGTCATGTGGACTTCGACACTGTACCAAACCACATATTTAAAGTAGTAAAGAATTCTTTTTGACGCTGACTGCAGCAATAGGGTGTTGTCTCTGAAATAGTAAATCGATGCGCCAATAGGAGCTCTTGAAGGAAGACCGCGCCGATTGGTTGGGAGCTTAACCAATAGTCTTCTTAGGAAGTACTTTAGCGTCGTTCCGACATTTGTCTAGAGTCTAACTTACACTAAGTTCAGCAGTTCCCTCTCATATGTCGACTTCGCAAATTTTCCGCTTATGCGCGAGGCCGAATTTTTCTTTCTTAATCACTTCTTGTTTTAGCCGGAGAAAATTGTCCATTCTGGACATACCGTATTCCTGGAACAGTAAAACACATTTTTAAATAAATTTGTCTCAAATCAGGGAGTTCCTCTTGTGTACCAGAAAAATTATACGGGACCCAGAATACCCAGAGCGGAATGAATTTAAAAATATTCCTTTCTCAAATTGGTCCTACGTGGAATATTTATTTGGTTTATTATTTATTTACATTTTATTATTATTTTTTATAACATCAAGTGACGGGACGAGCAAGTGGCAAACTACATGCCTGTCCATAACAGTTACATTGCCAGTTAGAGCTTTAAATTGCAAAGATCTCGGCACTCGGCAGGGGCACTACCACTGCGCCCGTCACCCTGAGACATAAGTTGACAAGTCCCTTGTGCCTGTAATTTCACTAGCAATTTATAAAGGGATAACGTGACCATTATTTTTTCCCTCAAAGCAGGACGCCGTAAATGTATTATTGTCTTAAAAACAAAACACGTGTTACGCAATATTTAATGACTAAAAAAGAACTAGTCTAATGTAATCTGGCTTTATATATTTTTCTGATGAGCAAAATTTGTTTTAAAAGTCCATACAACCTCAAATGACTTTTGGTTGATTCCGCGTCACAGCGAACTGTTGAATCAATCTCTTTGGGTAGAATATATAGTAAAATTGAGGATTATACACTGATTAGTATACGGTTCCTAAAAATTGTCACGACAGTATAAAAACACGAAGTTACTCGAAATTTTACAAGACAACCGCTGTATTAAATAGGTGCTTTACATATACCAGTGATTTTTTTTTATGTCAAGTGAATTAAATAGAACATGTATACTATACGATATACATATTTCAAATGGCTTTAGTGTTGTTTATAAAAAAACTAAATTCTGAAATAAACTCAAGCAAAATGAACCATATTAGTGCGGGAAAAATTTTAATCGAGGTAGTATCCTTGTGTTTTTCTGCCGCCAAGCAGTAATACGCTGGTGAAACTACAAGCACATGGGCCTTGTCAACTTATGTCTCAGGGTGACGGGCGCAGTGGCAGAGCCACTAAGGTAATTGCGGTTTAAAGCTCTGAGTAGCACTGTAATTGTTGTGGATAGGCGTGTGCTTACACTCGCTTATTATTATACAAACACACGTGAATCTTCGTTACAAATAGGTGGTTTATCAACGACATAAGAACTTACCCAGTACCCAAAAGGTATCTGACTTTTGCTAGCGTTAATAATACTCCAAAGAGCCCAGAAGAGATGGCTGGCTAGCGTGAACGCCTCCACTTCGTTCAGCAGTTTGTTCACAGCGTCTATCGAGGGGGACACCAGCTCCTTCTCGTCCGTCAAATTGGCGTTATAATGCTTCAGGTATTCCTTGATGAAGATTTCCTGCAAAATTATTAAATTCGTTAGGAATTTTGGTGACACATACAAAATGTAGACACATTTTTAAGATATTGGAATGCTGTAATAGAGATGTCACGAATATTCGTCTTACTATTCGGTACTCGGCCACTTTATCATAAATATTCGGCCGAATTGAAACCAAGGAAAAAACGCACTATTTACTCAAAAATATATTTTTTTAATATTCAAATTTTTTTATTGAATACATTGACTTACAATTATATGGACGTCGGGTCCGCGCTAAAAAGTGTCCGAACTTATAGGGCGTTAAAATCGTATACAGAGCGTCATTCACGCTTTAGTCTTCGTTTGTTCGACTGACAGCGAAGCAAGCAAAATTAGACAGTACTGCGATGACATTACAATTTAAATTCAACGTTTTAGCTTTTTCGTATTCCTTTACATGTCACTACGTTTAAATACGTCGACTTGGGACATTTTTTTCGTGGTTTTTGTATTAGACTCGTCGTCCATTTATTTGTAAGTCAATGATTGAATATCACGTTTTTACTTCTGTTTCTCTTTTTTAACCGACTTCAAAAAAAGGTGGAGGTTCTCAATTCGACTGTGTATACAGAATAAATTTATCTTTATATATTTTGTATGTATGTTACGCGACAACTCGTGAACCGATTTTGATGATTCGATTTTGATTTCGGGAAACTAGGTAGGTGTGAAAAATACCTATTCGTATGTAAACGCGTTTATTCCCGTTTCCAAATGATAGTTACAATGCAACGCGAAAGTTTAAAAGTATATAAGGCTACATTGTCGTTATTTTAGTGTAGATAAATAAAGCTCTTTATTGGTATTATTATGATATAATACTTGTCGCGACACTAACTACTAACAAAAGAAATCATTACGCCCGCCCTCAACTCAATGAGACTAGTGTTGGTTGTTGGTTGTTGCCAGATTGTTACATTTTTCGTAACTTTTGATGCTCTCGCGTAATACGTAAGTCATTTTTGTTTCAAAGGCAATTTACAACGATGAGATTTTTTTCCAATTCAACTATATTTTATAGATTGTAAATTCTATATAGTTTCCGAACGTTCCAAATTATAAACTTTGTGGCTCTATTGAAAAAGGGTACAAGTCAAAAAAGTCAACTTTATAAGGCGACCCGAAAAACAGTTCCAGCTTAATATGATATTAAGCGTTACTCATGTTTTCTTGTAAAGTCGGCTTTTTTGACATGCACCACTCTTCACTATAGCCACAGAACTATTAATTCAGAGACATCTTAAACAAAATTAAATCATTTAATTATCGGTTAAAGGTTGATTTTTCTTGAGCATATTTACTTTTTTGTTGTTGTTCAGAATGTAGACGTCTATAAACATATGTATAACTTTTACAATTACAATTAAAAAAAAAATACGAAAACGTAACTTTTCAGGTAACGAAATGTAATTTTCGTTTCAAGGCTCTCGCAAAACTGAGGCCAGTCGTAAAATTTAACAGCCGAATATTAGGCACTTAAATCGAGAGCGCGGCCGAATTTTCGATATTCGCCCAAATCTCTATTCGTGACATCTCTAATTATTCAACAATTCATTCCTAACAATCAAGATCGGCCAATTATTGCAGGCCCATCATTCTTAGCGATCTGTACAGCGTGCAAGTTCCAGATCGAAATGGTAACTAACATCAGAACTGGCTGAATATTTTTTTTTAATAAATTATGAGCGGAAATGGAAAAACGATTGTTCAATTGAAAAGAATTCTTAACGGCGACCTTATTGACCCCACGGTTTGCACTGGGCGCTGAATGGGAACGTCTCCGGTAGTTTTCTGGTTCTAGTTTCGGTGTTCTGGGTAGTGCCTCAGAATAAATTCCATTGCTCTTGTACTCGTAGTATAGCATCCACTGAAAATCTGTGTCACAACCTTTTCTCGGCGGTGACAATAGCTGAGTGGATTCTTTTACATACGCCAAAGCCGCACACATGACTGATATGATTTTATTTTTATTTAATATTAGGGGTTTAAGTATGAAATTGCCGTTTTATTGCAACAGGTTCTTTGAATTTTCATAGAATCTTCATGGTTTGAGGTTTTCGAATGAAACTTTTTTCAAATGGTTTCTGTGATTTTTTTTTTTTTTAAATTTGAAACATTTGAATATCGACTTTCAATTGTTTTTGTTATTCAATTTAGACAAGAAAGATGGATACTGCGAAAATTCGAGTGATTTTTGAATACGAGTTCCGACGCGGAACTAACGCGGCAGAAACAGCCCGCAATATCAATGCTGCGTTTGGAGAGGGGTCTACTAATTAACGCACCGTGCGATTTTGGTTTAAACGCTTTCGTGATGGAAATTTCGACTTAAAGAACGAGTCACGAGGAAGACCGCCCACACAGGTGAATAACGATGAATTAAGAGAGATAGTGGAAGCCGATCCTAGTCAAACTACCCAGGAATTAGCGGCATGGTTTAACGTTACCTTACCCACAATATTGACTCACTTGCGTCAAATCAATAAAATAAAAAAATACGAAAAATGGGTGCCTCATGATTTGACTGATCTGCAGAAAGAAACGCGTGTTGAAACTTGTGTTGCCTTGTTGAACCGGTACAGAAATGAAGGAATATTGGATCGAATTGTAACATGTGATGAAAAGTGGATTCTTTATGATAACCGGAAAAGAAAAATGCAATGGCTGACCCCAGGTCAAATGCCACAACAGTGTCCTAAAGCAAAACTTACCAATAAAAAGGTAATGGTAACTGTTTGGTGGTCTCAGCATGGTGTTATTCACTATAGTTTTCTCCGATCTGGTCAAGCAATAACGGCAGATGTCTATTGTGCCGAACTCCGAACCATGTTGACAAAACTAGCAGTAAAACAGCCCCGACTCATGAATCGATCTTCACCATTATTGCTCCACGACAACGCGAGACGTCACACAGCACGAGAAACCATTTTGACCCTTCAGGAACTGCAGTTAGAAACCATTCGTCATCCTCCGTATTCACCAGACCTTGCTCCAACGGACTACCATTTTTTTCGTGATTTGGACAATTATCTACGTGACAAGAAGTTTTCTTCCCAGGAGGCAGTACAAAATGCTTTCACACAGTTTGTGCAGTCTAGATCGTCGGAGTTCTATCGCAAAGGCATTAATAACCTTCCCATTAGATGGCAGCAATGTATAGATAATAATGGCAACTATTTTGATTAAATAAATTTGTTAAAAATTTAAAAAATAAACAATTTAGATTTTCAGTACAAATCGGCAATTTCATACTTTAACCCCTATTATTATTTTTGTTATTTTATTTTTTTGTTTTAATGTATCTTTTTTATCTTTCTGTGTATTTTTGTGTTGTGGCATTGTAACAAATGATTTCTATTCTATTCTAATTACTAGAAATGAAACGGATATCCGGTAACTATCCGGTATCCGGCCTATTTTTACTATATCCCGGATACCGGCCGGATAACGGATAGAAAAACAATATTAGAAAAATTTATAATCAGTACACCAAATAAATTGATTTATTGATAAAGATGATAGTACTACAATATACAGCAACTACAGGATTGTTAACAATCTTTTTGTTACGGTAACCGTAGAACTATGAAGTTAAAGGCTAACGTTATCTGTAAATTTACTATACTCAAATTTCAATAAAAGCAAATTATGTTGGATGTAGACCAGTTTTACTCCATTAAGTGGTAAAAGTTGGTGATATTTATTTTCATAGATCCAATTTTGCAATTTTTTTTTACTGTTAACATTTTTTTGTTATTATTTGTCTGTATTATCGAATATATTAACAGTTTTTATAAAAACCAAGTGACCACAACAAATCAAATAGTCAATGGGAAAGTGCAATCAGTCACTAACAATCAATCACGGTGATGCGCGCTATAAACCGGTCGCGGCATGTTTTACGGCCGTGAGTCAGATATTTGGCGGCCCGATATCCGGCTATCCGGCCTGGGTGTTCGCTGGTTATCCGGTATCCGGCCAAATTACTATCCGTTTCATCTCTACTAATTATCAATTCAATGTCACAATGTTCTACTATCATAATATCTATTCTTTTGTGACATTACTCCAATAGTTGGTTATAATTATTATAATAATACAAAGATGGAACAGAAAGAAAAAAATTCCTTCAATCTGACAAGACTCCGAACTGCGTCTGTATACCGAAAAGCCGAAAAAACCCAAAACAAAAGATCTGAAACAAAGACTGAGAAATCCATCAGGTCTGCTGACTCCATGTGTAGCAGAGTTGGTAGAGCAGTGGTCCTAATTTGGTATACAGACGCATGTCCGAGTCCTGTCAGACTGAATGAAAGTTTCTCTGTATTCGATTCTTGTATTAATAATTATATAGTGTAGCGGACAATGGCGGACGTTTCTCTGGGTACCCATTTGGGAGACAGACGCGATACTAAATATGCTACTATATAATATTATTCAGCGACTTCCGATGCCATACTTTGCAAAAGTTATGACGAAATTTTTGATAATGTTACGTTGCTGGTTAGTTTTGAGTGTGAAAACAGCTTAACTGGGACGTTATAATTTTATCATTCAGTTAAATATGAAGTTAGTATAACTGAAAAGTAATCGAAATGTGAGCATTTGTTTAATAGATTTTTGTGACAAAATAATTGTCTAAAAAAACAAAGCTGTGTTATTTATTAAATGACCAATTTACAAAAAAAGAAACATTTTTTTTTAAATCATCTATATAAAATTTCAAAGAGCATTTTTGGTACATTACTTTTTTTTTCAATTGGCTAGATAATCAAGAACACAGGTCAGAAAAAAATGGTCTCTCATTTCATTGTACTTTTACTCCACGGCGGTTTTCGTCCCATAGGCAAAGGCTCGCGTCCATACAGCCAAGTGGTCTTAGGCGATGACGGCCATATTCTGAATGGCCAGGACATGATGTGACTAAAAATCAAGCATAAAAAACACAAGCTGCGTAGTGGCAGAATATGGTATACCCCCAAATATATATGTACATTAATGATAAAGTTGTCTCCGTTCATTTCAATTTCGTCTACACACACCGGCACATTTAACGGAACACTAGTAAAATTAAAAAATAATGGAGTGCTTTTCAAAAGTTGGGTTTGGTTATTTTACTTTTTTGTGTTAGGTGTAATTTGAAAATAGAAAAATTAGTCGAGTGTAATTTTTTCACTAATTTGTTTTAATTTCCTAATAATACTGGTTTGTCGAGTGGTTGGAGGTTGATTCAGGTGGGGTATGAGGAACATACCATATTTTGAGTCAAATGCTTTAAACTCTTGAAAGAACAAATAGTCTTATAAGAATTAATCATTAAAAAAAATATAAATGAATCTCAAGATTTCACAATGGTCACATTTATTTTTCCGGCCTTTCGAATTTGGAGCATCACAGCGACATCGCCCTCTGACCCTAATCAATGTTAAACCGCTACAAGTTTTAAATTATTTGAGCTGTTTCTGCTTTGTCAAAAAATCTAAAAAAATAGTATTTTGTTTAATTTCCAATAATGGTCGACTAGGTCGATGTTTAAGAGATGTGGATTTAATAGCTATTCTATATCTAATTCTTATTTATTTAAATATAAACGTTATTATATTACATTAACAGCTTTTTTGCCCCGCTAAATGTGCCGATGTGTGTATTATAAGCTAGTTAATAATACCAATTTACCTTGTCTCAAACTAGGATATGGCCTGTACCAAGAACAACGTCGAATTAAGGTCGGGGTACTACACTGAACATGCAGATCAGTGGCCATAAGGTGGGATCTAATATTTAAAGAAACTATTGCGCATAGGCACAAAAACTGACGACAGTTTTATCACAATAATGGAATAAATACGGAACGAACATATAAACATTTATTTTTATTTATGTACAGGATAGATTTGGCTTTAACTTCATTGACAAATTATATTCTTGGCGACGAGGCGCTGCCCAGAAGGAGCAATTTTAGTTAATTAATAAACTGCCTCCGTGGCCGAACGGTTACCATGCCGGACTGCCAAGCAGAGGTCCCAGGTTCGATTCCCGGGCCGGGAGAAATATTGTATGGCCTACAGTTATTTCTCTCGTGAGTTTGGGTGCAATTTGTGATTGTCTATGTGTGTGTCCATGGCACCCGCGACAAAGGGTTTCCCTAGTGCGGGGCTATGTTGAGTGTGTGCGTTATTATTATATTATTATTAATTCATTTGCTTGTATTAATTTTAACCCGATCATGGATTTATTTAAATACTCACTACTTTATAACCGACTTCAAAAAAGAAGGAGCAGGTTCTTAATTCGAGTGTTTTTCTTCGTTTGTGTTACGCAATAACTCGCTTTGTGAGCCGATTTTGATGATTACTTTTTTTATTGGAAAGAGGGTACCTCAGTATTGGTCCCATTTAAATTTGTAGAAAATATTCCTCCTCAAAGGGTGGCAAACTAGGGGATGAATCTTGTTTCGCGCATTTTCCGGTAACTTGGCAAATATATATAATTCCACGAAATTTTGAAGTCGGTTTTTTTTTTAAAGAAGTTACAATTTTGGTAACCTAATAACATAATAATTAAATTGTTTTTATGTGATTTGTTTTATGTAATTATCTTTGTGTTGTAGTACTTGTATTGATTCAATATAAAATGTTTAATGTAAATCATTAAGCAAAAATTTTGCCAGTACGTTGTTGGTACTTCTCTATGGAGAAGCTGTAGGAGGCTACTACACAGAAAGTACTTGGAATTCGCATTGTAAAGTCCGTAGTTGGTTTTTTGAGATATTGTATAGCGAAATATACCTAGTAATATCATATTCTGATATTTTAATGTAAAGTGTTTTGTTTTAAATGGGTCAGTATGGGGAAATCCGAAACCATAGAAAATACAAGGAAACTGTCTTAGGCACCGTTGTCTTTTTTTGTGAAAACAATTTTGGTATAATGAATTTTTTGGTCAAGCGTGAATTGTCCATAAAAATTAATTTTTGTTTTAATGCTGATCGACTCAGTTTCATTGTATGGGAATAAACTCTGGACAGTAGAAGTTTGGTTCATTCCGTGGCTTAGTTGCCAAAGCGTTTGGCACGGTTTGCTAGATGACGTCGATTCGAATCCGGCCGGATCGAAGGAATTTTTTGTAAATGTTCAAAATCTTTCTATTAATAATTATAACAAACTAGTGGAGTTATCGCATAAAAAATATTTGAATATGACATCTCTAGCCAGGGCTGATAGCTGTAAAGGTACTGACTGGGTGACGAAATACTTTCATAGACTCCTCATAGACGGCGTTCCGCCAAAAAAGTCGTTAAAAACCAGATAAAAAATCCGACAACAAGCACATAGAAAATTTTGTGAGGTCCGCTGGTTCGTTCCGTGGCTTAGTTGGCATGGCGTCTGGAACGGTTTGCTAGAAGACGTCGATTCGAATCTGGCCGGATCGAAGGAATTTTTTCTGAGTGTTCGATCTTTGTATTATTCGTGCAGTAGCACGTGTATTACTGATTTATAACTCTGCGCAAATTCAATGTACAATTGTAACTGCCTCCGTGGCCGAACGGTTACCACGGAGGCAGTTACAATTGTACATTGTACATATGATTTTTAGGGTTATCATCTCAGATTCTTTCACAGTTACCAAAATTTCAATATTTTCCTACGAAATTCAACTAGATTATGGATAATACCAAATGTTGAAGTCTTGTTTATAATGAATATTATTCAACAGAAGTTTCAAATCACCTAAAATTACATAAAAATGACCAGCAATTAATTATTTATAAAACTGTGTCATCCCTAGTGACTTTTTGATTTGAAGGGAGAGCTCGTAAACATTCGAGTTCTGGTGGTATTCAAGTCCAGAATCGGAAATAGATGCTGGATGATATAATGTGGTATATTAATATCAAATAAAATCTTGCAATTTTGTTTCTTTTCAACTACCATTACGTTTATTACCTATTTAAATTCCGATTAAGGGAGGAGGCCGTGGGCAAAGCAAGCTTCAATAATGCCCATTGAAAAAAATGTTCTTTTCCTATGCCATCATTGGTTGCCTAACACGTTTTGTTATTAAACATTCTACGTTGAATTTGGCTAGAGTATAGCACAGTATTTTCGTAAAAAAAATTAACATCGTGGTAGTAAAAACTCATCATGATATTCAATAAAAGTTACCATTATTGCATTAAACCTACCTTTTGCTCCAAAGTTGGTGTATTTTCCTGAAGTTCATGATAGAATGGGTACTCTGGGTTTGTGTAATCGTAGCCCCATTCTTGGAAGTGGTTCGCGATGTCGAAACCGCGGTAGTTATAGGCGCAGTATTCGAAGTCAATGAGGACAAGTCTCGGTTCGCCGGAGTCGGAGATGTGGCTATGAATAGAGTCCGACGTGTTTGCATCTTCGTGGTCTAGGTATTGATTGGATGAGGGGATATGTGTGACGAATGGAATTCTAGAACAAGACCATTAATTTTATATTAAATAATACTAAATAATAATATTTTATTGGATATAACCATTGACTTACAATTATATGGACGTCGGGTCCGCGCTAAAAAGTGTCCGAACTTATAGGGCTTTAAAATCGTATACAGAGCGTCATTCACTTTAGTCTTCATTTGTTCGACTGACAGCGAAGCAAGCAAAATTAGACAGTACTGCGATGACATTACAATTTAAATTCAACGTTTTAGCTTTTTCGTATTCCTTTACATGTCACTACGTTTAAATAGGTTGACTTGGGACATTTTTTTCGTGGTTTTTGTATTAGACCCGTCGTCCATTTATTTGTAAGTCAATGGATATAACCCACGTGCAAATCGATACTGTCACTAAACAAAAAAGTCAACTTATGGGACATGGTCATTAAAGTGTCTGAAATTGAGTCTAAATTTGAAAAAGCGAGAGCTTCGTTTAGTGACGGTGTCGTCTTCAAGGTGCGATATCTGACAATCTAAATCATAGGTTTGCAAAATCTTTGGTCCACCGCCCAATTAGACAAGATAAACAAAAATTTCAACAATAAACCTAAAGATATTGTGAACGTGCTAACTTGTGACACAATAGGATGTACTTTCCACGATCATATAAATTTCGGAAAACAGGCTAAAACAATGGTCTAAATAGTATACTGTGTACGTCGTATGTACCTATTTGTACTTTTTTTATTATGATATCAAGTGACTGATAACTGATGGTAAACTACACGCCTGTCCAAACAGTTGCTATGCCACGCAGAGCTTTAAATTGCAAAAATCTGAGGGGCACTGCCACTGCGCCCGTCACCCTGAGACATAACGACTGTGAACTGGCAATCGGTACAATCTCAATTTTGACAATTTTAAAACCTTGGACTTTTGGACAGCATCAACGCCCCCCAATTGCGTCAGAGGCCCCTAATGCCTATCTAGGACTCTTCAGCGTCCACTGGGAGGTGGTAAGGACCACTTTGGGAAACTATAATCTAGGTGGCCCTACATGCATTTCTAAAAATTTTCATGATAGAGAAAACACAACTGAATTAAATAGAACACGTATAGTATAATATATATAAATATATATATATAATATTTATATATATTATAATTTATTGAAATGGCTGTTATTTCTGTTGAAATTAAAAAAAATAAAATTCCGAATAAAGCCAGTGTCCCTACCGCTCGACACATAGAATCGATTGAATACAGGAAAAATTCGAGCTAAGGTAGTATAGACTCTTAAGGCGATAAATACAAAAAAATTAAGAATATAATAAAATAAAAATAAATATTACGTACCTAGATGTAGTGGTTCTCTCGAGCATTTCCATACTTTGTCGATTATGTGACTTAGTAATTGATGTAAGAGACATATGTGACATCTGCGTATTCGGTGACTTATTCGGAGATGTAAGATTGTTCTCCTGCTCCGGAAGGTCTGATGACGGATATGATTGAGCGAAAGTTGTTTCGTATTCATCCGCCATTGTTGGTTCATCTTCTATCAATAGGATGTTGCCTGGTGATAAAAACAATACAATAACTTTTTTTATAAAAAAAAAATGGAACGTAAAAATTTTTGGAACAACATCTATTTGCCAAGTTCTATTGAAATCGGTTAATGGGTAGTCAGTGGGATCTATCGAGTATATAACCAGGAATAGAGACGACATAAGGGTCATCCAATCCTGGCAACTCATCGGGCAAATGGGCGTTATATCACTTTTAAATATCATCTCTCAAGTCACATTTTAGAAGGCTGAAATGGTACAGCGCCAACAACTGACCTAGATATACACTTTATTGCTCACAAACAGGAACAAATTAAAACTAATATGGGCAAAGGCGGCCTTATCGCTAAGAGCGATCTCCTCCAGACAACCTTTCAGATATAGGGAAACTAATCAGAGCGGGGCGCGTTGCCAATAGCAAAATTTGAATTGTATAGAAAAACAATAAAGAACATTATATTTTGTCAAATAATAAATAACGATATAGTATACCTACAACTACTAAACTTATACTTACTAATAAGTAAATACACGTTGCAGACTAGGGCAGTGTCAGAAGATATTTAAGCAATCCAGTTTTGAAAATTTGAAAGTGTCGTATGTACGCATTTGCACCTTCTTTTTATAATATCAAGTGACTAATGGAAAGCTACACGCCTGTCCATGACAGTTGCTTTACCACTCAGAGCTTTAAATTGCAAAGATCCGAGGGGCACTGCCACTACGCCCGTCACCCCGAGACATGCGTTGACAAGTCCCATATGCCTGTAATTTCACCAGCACGCTTACCCTTCAAAGCTGGTAGTACTACCCTGGACGAACTCTACTGCAATTAACACCTGGTATCTTTCAGTTTTTAGAAAATATTCCACCTCTAAGGGTGGCAAAGTAACAGATTTCAATAAACCTTGGCAAATAGGTGTAATTCCACGAAATCTTGAGTGTCGGTTTTTTTTTTAATAAAAATAATTATAATTCTTTATCATACATTTATTTTACTCATATAACCTGGGTTTCAAATCATCCGGTCGAAACCCTTAGAAGTGGAATATTTTGTTTGAAAAATGAATCATCGAAATCGGTTAATAAATGTCGCATCGCGTAAAATGCACACAAAAAAAATTATAAACGAATTGAGAACCTCCTTTTTTCAAATTGGTTAATAATAGCAGTAGCGTGAAGGATCTGTCTGTCATCTACCCAGCTATAATAAGTTCTAACAAATGCAAACACAACTCGAAAATAATTGAAAAACAGAAGCAAAGTCAGGCTGGAGACGCGTCTGTGACAATATAAATGCGTCTGTGACAATATAAACGCGTCTGTGGCAATGCATACACGTCCGTGGCAATTTAGATGCGTCTGTGGTAATGTAGACGCGTCTGTGGTAATGTAGACGCGTCGATGGTGTTGTAGGCGCGTCCGTGGTAATGTAGGCGCGTCTGTGGTAATGTAGACGCGTCTGTGGTAATGTAGACGCGTCCGTGATAATGTAGACGCGTCCGTGGTAATGTAGACGCGTCTGTGGTAATTAAGACGTATCCATAGTAACGTAGACGCGTCCGTAACGTCAACATTTATAAACTCACCTTCCTGCAAGTCGTTGTGGCAGAAAACAACCGGCGAATCAACAATCGCAAGAAACTTCTTCAGCCACTCAATTTCTTTATCAAACTCTATCGTCTTAAAACGTTTGATTATCTCATTCTCTTGTTCGTTCTGGAAAAGAAAAAATCACGAGTAAATTTCAAGATACAAACGCGCAATTGCATCGATACAATAGCTTATAAATCAGAACTGTAGCGATGCAAACGCGCGTTTGCAAGTGTAAAAATTTTACCTATGGAATAAATGATTCTTTTAATTTGAATTCTTCCGCCCAACACTGCCTACCTTTCCTTTAGCACCATTCGCCAGCCGTTCCTCCTTGACAGTCTTTAACCACTTGTTCATAGTCTTCCACATCCAGTAAGGTTCCTTGGACAGAGGCACTTCCATGGAATGTATAGCGGCTGCTTTTTCAGCAATCTTCATTGACAGTGCTGGTTCGCCTAGTTCTTTGGTCAGAAGGGGGCGTGCCTAGAAAAAAGGAATATAACCGTTATACTCAGTGTCTATAGCACAAATAAAGGGAATTTTCTTTCTGATATTTTGAACGATGATAATTAAGGAGAGGTATTTCAACGCGGGCCTAGATTTTAGAAGGTAAGGTTTGGGGGGGCGGTCCCCAAATCCGACGTTGACAAGCGCCCGAAGGCGACTGACCCTTGAGCTATTTTCAGGCTTTTTAATAAATGTGTATTTAATAACTAACAGGGCTTCAGTTGAAAACAAAAAGATGGATGGCGACATTCCGTGTATTTTGTGACCCAGTGTTTTTGACAACGTGCATTTTAATTTTTACTTTATGTCATTACCTTTTAATGATAAAAATAAGGTATTTTATAGCTTTAATGTTTTATGTGTGTACTATAAAATAACCAATACTTTAGGTAGGTACACATTCAGTCAATCAATCAATTGCGTTATTAATTATTCTAAAACACGTTGTTTTACAATTTCTTTATTCCCAACTTCTAAAAATATACAAAAATGTATTCATAACTAGGCATAAACTAAAACTTAAAATTATACTAGCAAAGTCCATGAACGACTCGTCGTTGATTTTATAATTATTGGGTCAGCTTTCGCAATCCTTCTTGAGGTTTCAAAAAAATTTAAGGATTTTGTTCTGAGTGCTCTGTTCGATCTTTGTATTAATAATTATAACAAACTAGTGGAGTAATTTCACAAAAAAAAAATTGAATATCACATCAATAAAACTTAGATATTTAATTCTTAAATAAATATTTTTAGATGTATATTATTAGTCAGTTTTCAGGATTTCATGTGATCGGCTAAAGTACATCCGCTTGTGTAACAAATTAGCACTTTCTTTAGACAGTATCCTTAAGTGTAACGTATATTTTTTGCAAGACCGTTATTGAATAATAAACAAATTTTCCCTCTTATCCGGTGACACGCCTTAGGCATAATTGGAATTTTCTTACCAATATGCATACTTTGAAGAACTCATTCATGTCATGTCATTATCAATCCATTTATACGTCTCACTGCTGGACAAGGGTCTCCTCTCAGGCGAGGGTTTTAGGCTATTCATATGTTTTCCGAAGGTTGTGAAGGTTTATGAGGCTGCCTCATGATGTTTACAATTTTGTTTCCACTATTCCATCGAAGGGTATCGGGTTTTGAGAATTTCGAATCGTAACGGAAATCTTCATAATATTCTTACTTTTGTTATATCTCTATTTTATCGGCAATGTATGTAACCGTATATCTACAAAATACCTAGAACAAACACGAGGTGAGTTCCGAGGTATGGAGACCCTAGATATGAAGGTCCCTTAAGGTCTGACGGCGGTGACGTGGAGTGTAATGAAATAGCGGGAGAGAAGATAGCGACACGTTTATTTCCGAAAGTCTTCCTAAATGAGGTTCGTAAGTGAGGTAACTTTAAATATGAATATCCGTATTTCTTTTCCTTATATATCTGGGGTAATTCAACTGAGTCGATTAGGGTATTTATTCTTCAAAAACGTGCACTAAGAACAATAGTAGGCATAAAAAAGGGTCAGACCTGCAGAAACCTTTTTAAGAAATACAATATAATGACCATGTACTCACAATATATTTATGATATAATAGTTTATGCGCCTAAAAACTTGGCTACTTATGAGCGACGTACGGGCGGAGGCCGAGCGTTACGAAACGCGGGAACACTAAAATCCGTTGCCCATCGTACCGAACTTGCAACTAGAAATCCGCGGGTAATAGGTCCCCGATTCTACGAACATCTACCCACAGACCTGAAAAGTGTTAGAAACGAGGAAACGTTTTGTACCTGACTAAAAATCCTTTTATTGGATATTGAATTGTACAGTGTCGATGAGTTTCTTTTGAAACAATTTTCATTTTATTTTATTCGACAAGCAGTAGTTATACTACTTTATTTTATATTCATTATTATTATTATACTTTTATTACTGACGATCATAATTATCCCTTGACATTGTATTTCCAATTGTAATATTGTGACATTGATAACATGAAATAAACGATTCTTCTATTCTATTCTATCCGTATTTTTTCTCCTTTATTTCTTTATCCTTTTTTATCTGTCAATGTCGTCAATTTTGTAAGAAGAGTATGTGCGAGAGGGATGTGTGTATGAAGATGATGAGAACGGGGATAACAACTTGATATTCTACACAATGACAAAAACGGTATTCTATACAATGCCGAACGTGCATTAGGCAATGTATAAAATTTGTTAAGGCGAGCCATCGGTGGAGAAGCGGGGAAAACAGTTGTACTATATCAAATTGTTTAGGTATTTACTATTAAATAACGCTCATACAAAAAATAAGATACACCAAGGATATTGTCTAAAGTATGTGCTAACTTGTTACACGATAAGATGTACTATACACGATCACATAAAATCGTGAAAACAGACTAAAATAAAGGAGAATAAAATATCTAACTTTGCACATGATATAATTTTATTAATTATGTGGAGATATTTTTATTAAAATTACAGACAGCCTGCATAATTTTGGTTTTCAACTGAAGTCCTAGTTATTAAATTCAGTGTCAAATTTTCTCCGTCTGTCCTTATTTTATACACATTAATTGTCAGCGCGTGATTCCTAAAATGTAAGCTCGCATTGGAATAGCTCGTGTAGTTTAATGATAGATCATAGGTTCCCAAAGTTTTTGGCGCACCGCCCAATTAGGCAAGATAAAAAAATTTCAACGTCCACCACCACAAAAAATAATAGAAAACACGTATTTTTTATATTAATTTAACACAAAAAACCACGAGGAAAAAAAAAAATGTAGTGTAGTTTATATAGATAATTCAGGTTTTTTTGAAATGCGGTAGCATCCATGGGCAGCATCAACGCCCCACAATTGCTTCCGAGGCCCCTACCGCCTCCGTAGGACACTTCAGCGCCCACTCGGGGGGCTGTAGGGACCTTTTTGGGAAACTATGTGATAGGTAATTGGAAGCGAATAGCTTTTGGAAAGAAAATGGGAATCATGTACTGTGGTAGCAATATTTGTAAAGAAACTTAGCCTTACATGAATAAACTCCTCAATTCGTCCTCCGGAAAAGACTCCATGCAGCTTGGGTCCAAGCCGCCTCTCAGACAGCAGTGTAAAAATCACAGACTCCGTAACAATGGCATCCATTGCGCGTTCGCCGTGCACTTGTCCATATATCCTTAGAAGAACCTGTAAGCAATATGAAATAATTTTATTAGTCCCGCCCTCGGTGTGTTGTTGTCCATATAAATACACGGAATCAGATCCGCCGCGATCCCGACCCGCTCCCGACTCCCGACCGGACCCGCGCCCGAACCGCACCCGCTCTCTGTGTGTTTCACGCCTTAAGCCGGGTTTTCACTATACGAGTACTCTCAGACCGAGTGCGCTCGTACGAGTTAGATCGTATAGAAGTTCACTCGGATTTCGGTTTATTTCGTATATTTGTTTCCTTGAACAATCAAGATAACGAAGACTGATCTGCTGCTGCGAGGTGGAGGAGTTGCATCAGATATGTTAAAGATATCTTAATGCCTGAAGTACAAACTCATGAAAGGGAAAAAACAAAGCAAGAGAAAACTTTGGACCAGAAAATGGATTTTAAGACATGATTAGTCATGAACTGTAGTCAGAACTCAGTTAGCTGAGTTCTTCAAAATAATTTTATCGGCGAAGTGGAAAGAAAGATAAAAACACGTTTAAAACCCTTTATTGTCACGTTAATTCCATTTTTTCTTAGCTGGCGCCATTTATGATCCGAGTATACTCGTAAGAATAGAACCGCGTCCGAGACCACTCTGATCGGATGCAAAAAAAAAACAAGGTGTCAGAGTGCGCTTGAAACTCGTGTTTACACGTTACGAGTGGCGTCCGAGTAACCATCCAAGTGAACTCGATCCGAGCCTACTCGTATAGTGAAAACCCGGCTTTACAGCTACCAGCTACCAGCAGCTACTATGGATGTCGCGGTCAGTTCAATACCGTCCCGCACTAAAAAGTTTGGCAATTCGTTTTTATGCCGAACCATCAAATTGTGGAACCAACTCCCGGCGCATGTATTCCCTCCCCTCTATAACATCGGGTCCTTCAAACGTAGTGTGAAGAAGCATTTGGCCAGATCGGCAAAATGATAGTGACGGAGTGAAGATATTTGTGTTTTCCATCCGTTACTCTCATCTCTGGACTGTATTCGCACTTTCCATCAGGCGCGGTGCAGCCATTTTGCCGAGTCACAATAAAAAAAAAATAAAAAAAAACAATCATTGTAATTTTTATGTTATTGAATATTATAAGATTGACCACCATGACATTAAATTATTTTTGTGAAATACTCCACTCGTTTGTTACAATTATGAATACAAAGATCGAACACGTAGAAAAAATCCTTCGACCCGGCTGGATTCAGTTTATTAACCGACTTCAAACAAAAGGCGGAAGTTCTCAATTCGACAGTGTATACTTTTTTATACATATATGTACGCGATAACTCCGGCCGATTTTGGTGAAAAGTGTAGCAAGCCCCCCCCCCCCCCCCCTGTTGAGGGATAAAGTATGGAGCAGTAATGCCAGCACGCCACCATATTATACTGCAGGGCAACCTCAACCACTGCGCCAGGGCTCAGGACCTATTGGTTCAGGCCATACTTTGTTCCCCTGGGCGGGGGATCGGGAGAAGACGGTGGTCATAGTGACGTCGACTGCCGGGAACTCATCCATCTAGTGGTGAAGGAGCGCGGGTCAGGGTTCGTAGCAGCGAGGTGGGGAGAAATCACCCCAATTGGGGGGGTACTTCTCTCCAAAGCGCTCCCTGGCCCAATTTCAGGCGTTCCTGGAGACCCTAGAGAGGGCTAGAGACTCAGAAGTGGTCCCATTTATATTCGACTTATATTTATACTTCTTTTTTCTTTTATTATATTTATACTTCTGACTTTATATTTTATACTTCGACACTTCACGATAATTTAATGTTACGCGAAGATGGTTTTGCGTGATGGAAGATGCGTACTAACTGTAACCTTGAATATGACCGATATATGGCTTTAAAAAAAATTCATAATAATATTAATTTCATAGGTAAGCATTATTACACTTGAAATCGTGACATTGGTTAAACTCTACCGCTCATTCGTAAGGCAGATTTCTCTGAGAAGAATGAGCAAGAAACTCTAGGGGTTTCTCTTTGTAAATAACATTTGTACGCATTCAACATTTACAATATATCCAGGCTTTATGGTTTGCCAAAGATCCACAAAACTAACGTACCATTACGACCAATAGTGAGTCAGATAGACTCACCCACGTTTGAATTGGCAAAATATGTGTCTCGTACACTAACACCTCTAGTAGGCACAACGAACTCCTTTGTGAAGGACTACAGGCATTTCATTGAGATCCTAAACAGTACCACAGTTAACGAGAATGAGACAATGGTTAGTTATGACGTTGAGTCTCTTTTCACAAACGTACCAATAAAGGAGTGCATCGACGTTATCAAAGTGAAACTTCAAGAAAATAACATCCCAATGGAGATTGCTCAACTACTTGAACATTGCTGAAACACGAGCTACTTCCTGTACAATGGTCAATACTGCCTTCAGATTGATGGTGTAGCGATGGGCAGTCCCGTTGCTCCCGTTGTTGCCAACATTTGGATGGAATACTATTAACACGCCGCCATTCTGTCAGCACCATCAACAATAAAATTATGGAAGAGGTATGTTGATGACGTATTTTGCATAATGGAAGGAAAGGAGCAACATATACAAAATTATTTAGCACGTCTTAATAACACCCATAACAAAATGAAGTTCACTTGTGAAATTCAGAAAAATCGCGCGCTTGCATTTTTGGATGTATTAGTCAAGTCCGACAAGACGGTTCACTCGGTCATTCTGTGTACAGAAAACCAACTCACACGGACAAATATTACATGCCACTTCACATCATCACCCAAAACACCTACATTCGGTCGTCAGGGCATTAACCAATAGAGCTTATGATCTTTGTGATGCACACCACCTACCACAGGAACAGGAGCACGTTAAGACGGTTTTGCGACAGAATGGATACATAATAAAAACATTTAAACCAATACACAAAAGGAAGAAGCAAATTGCCGTACAGAGACTACCAGCTTTTCTGCCCTATGTACAAGGGGTGACAGATAAAATAGCCAGGTTTAGATGGAAGTTTTCCATAAAAACTGTTTTCAGCCCCTTAACTAAAATAGGAAAAATGTTACGTTCACCAAAAGACCACCTTCCTTTACAAACACCGGGTGTCTATAAAGTGAACTGCAGTTGTGGGAGCTCGTATATCGGTCAGACTAAACGAACAATTGTCGATCGTATGAAGGAACACATCCGAGCATTAAAAAACAATGATGCACAGAAGTCGGCTATAGCACAAAATCTCACACAGACTGACACTAACCACTGGATCGAGTTGCATAGCCCCCAGGTACTCTCGACAGAACGTCACTACATACCACGGTTGGTACGAGAAGCCATCGAGATCACGAAGTACAAAACATTTAACCGTGATGATGGTTTTAAACTGTCCAGTGCATGGAATCCGGTCCTTAGTGCGTGCAGTACTAAAAACAAAAAACACCTCGAGTTCAGTTTCGCGTGTGGATACAGTGAGTGTGGTTTGTGTGAAAAAAGTGAGTGACAATGGTAACGCCACAACAAATCGCGATGAAGGTAGTCGTCGACAGCGCAAGAGGGTAGACAGATATGTCTGCTCTTAAAGCTGTCATCTGTCGCCGTCCAGTCAACCCGTGGCCATGGAGCGTGCAACCGTTCCGAAATATCGGGAAAATAAAAAGAAGTCATACCGTGGTAAGAAACCTGATACTAGTGATAATCATTTAGTGAATAACCACGAAAGTCTTAAAATCTATACTTACAATATATATAATTAATAAGTAATTTCAGGGTTAGCAAAGTATTTGACATACCTATAGCTTCAACCAATTACAGAAAGAATTCGTTTCTGCTGCGAGCTTGCAACAACATCAATAACCTAGTTAATAAAATAGATATTGATATCTTCAATACCAAAATTGTCACAGCGAGAAAATTACTCAGCGACTTCTTTTTTATTTCTTAGGAAAGTATTTTTTATTTCTTAGGATAGTCTTTTTATAAAGTTATATTGTAAAATTCTATTTCTATTGATTTTTTTATTAGAGTGCTTACTTATTTAAGTTACTTTATTTCTACAAGTGTAAACTTATTTAGCTTACTTCGTTGTTTAATTTAGAAATATAAATGTATATACTTCTAGTTTACCATTAATAAATAAAATAAAAAATAAAAATAAAAAATATATTTTTTTGTTTTGAAACAACAGAGATCGAGACTACCTCCATGAGCTAAATGGGTTACTACCACGGATTTTTATCATACTGTACTGTAACGCTAGTGTAAGAATGTTAATTTCCTTAAACTTATCTCTCAAAGATCTCTTTATTAAACCAACAATGGTACGATTTTACATTGTCACTTTTGTTTTATTCCGGCAAATGTGCAATTAGTCACGTCGTAGGTTCCCAAACTTTTTGGTTCACCGGTAATTTACGCAATATAAAAAAAACCAACGCCCACCACCACAAAAAAAACAGAAAACACGTATTTTTCATATTAACACAAAAAATCACAAGGAAAAATGACCTTACGACTAAATGTCTCTTAGGACATTTAAAATTTCAACTGTCGATATAAGGATAAGAATTTCGTCGATGAATCCAATTTTGAATGTCGTAAGCGACATTTTGTAGTAAGGAACATTTTCCATTACGACAAAATATTCCCTACGACATTTCAAATTTCTATCGACGATATAAGGGTAATAATTTCGTCGTATCGGATTTTGAAATGTCGTAAGGGACATTTTGAACTAAGGGACATTTTCCATTACGACAAAATATTCCTTACGTCATTTCAAATTTCCACCGCCGATATATATGTAGTGTAGTTTATATAGACAATTCAGTTTTTTTTTCAAATGCAACAACAAACAACCCCAACTGCTTTCGAGGCCCCTACCGCCCCTCTCGGACTCTTCTGGGGGGCGGTACGGACCACTTTGGGAAACTATGGTCTACCTGTAACTGTAGCATCAAACTGACCTGTTTGGGCTCATCGCCTACGTTTTCAGACATCTGTCGGGTGAGAGTAGATTGCTCTGTTTCTGAACCGGTTGAAGGCAGCCTGTTCCTGTAGAACTTTGACATATCATCCGGGAGGGCCACGTAGTAGATAAAGTTGGAGAGACCGCCACTGGAAAGAAATTAACACTTGTAAACATTAATCGGTACTGATGAATCTGTTCAAGGAAATATAGTTTTGTAACCGAATGGCATTACTTGTATGCTGAAAACAAAATTTTTTGATCTTAGACAAACAGTGATTAGAGGTTAAATGGCGTCGTACTATACAGGGTGCAAATTTGAGACGGGGCAGCAAGGCCAGTCACCTTAATCGTTGTAGTTACAGGAAAAGGGTTCTAGAACACTATCCATGAATTTTGAAGATATTTTGATTGGCATTCACAGATTTTGAAAAAATGGTACAGTTAGCAAGATAAAAGGCAATTGTTACAAAACTTTTTTTTATGCCATTCGATCTGAATTTCGATTCGATTTGAAATACAAAATACATAATTTTTTTTAAATAAATATGTATGGTAAAAAGTTTTTTTGCGATTTCTGACATTTCGAGTATTCTTACCTTTGTTGGTCCCATAGCGACTATTGATCCTTAACAGAGACCGGATCGAATGGCATAAAAACAAGTTTTGTAAAAATTGCCTTTTATCTTTCTGACTGTACCATTTTTTCAAAAACATTTTTGTGAATGTCAATCAAAATATCTTCAAAATTCATGGAACCTTCATTCTAGAACCGTTTTTTTGTAACTACAACGATTAAGGTGACTGGCCGTGCTGCCCCGTCTCCAATTTACACCCTGTTTAAAGGTGGAATGAACAAATGAACAAGAACCGTCTGCATTCAAAGGAAAATATATTTATTTAATTAATTGTAAGTCTTCGATATGATGTATCATGATATCATATTTATTCCCGATGTTTCTTGTTAATATGATAATTTATGTATTCTTTGTTTTGTCCTAATAAAGTATGTAAAGTAAAAAAAAGTGTAAGTAAAATGTTTATAAAGAGATGTAAAAGGTTTTTAACAAGAACTTTTACATCTCTATATAATAAATTTAGATGTTTTTTTCTTTTTTTTTATATAAAAAATAAGTGCGCATTTGACCGCCATCTCACCTGATGGAAAGTGACGATGAGGTCGAGGATGTAGCATGCACACCTAAATAATGCCTATTCATTCTCGCCTTGAAAAGGTCCAAGTTATAGCGTTCGGGAAACAAGTCTGCAGGCAGGGAATTCCACTCCCTAGCCGCTCGCCACACAAATGTGGAACGTTTCGTGCGAATCCGGGGAATATTCCCAACATAGGGGTGGCACCCCCGCCCACATCTAGTCTCTCGATGATGGAAAGGGGAAGGCGGAATAAAATTATGCAATTCCATCGCACACTCTCCGTGATATATCCTGTAGAATACCGATAAGCTGGCAACTCTACGGCGGTATTCAAGGCTCTGCAGCTTCGCCTCTACTAGTTCCGAGTCACCTATAAGCCTTTTAGCACGCTTGTCTATTGAATCCAAAGGTGGCCAGTTGGTATTTAGCAGAGCCATCCCATAAGTGGCAGCAGTACTCCATACACGACCGGACTTGTGCTTGCAGTACAGCTGAAGCAACTGTCCCGGTGTGAAGTATCGCCTCACCTTGGAAAGGATGTCAAGTTTCCTGGCTGCATTTTTGGCCATGGATTCAATGTAACTGCCGAAGTTCAGATTGGACGATTTCAGACAGGTCCATTCCAAGTAGGTGAAGACGGTCGGCTATCGGTATGGATATATCACGAAAAGTCGGAGTCAGGTGAAAGGCACTCCGTTTAGTGAAGAAAAGATACGCCTGCGTTTTGGTAGCATTAAATTGACAAGATTGGCATCGCCCCAATCGGAGACTGCCTTAAGTGTCAAACTCAAACGACTAACCATGGACTCTCGACAAGACTGGATTCCTTCTCCACTGACCCTTGCATTGGTCAAGTACCTGTCCACAACTGTGCTGTCATCAGCATACCCAAAGGTACCTGGAATCAACATATCGTTTATATGCAGCAGAAAGAGGGTTGCGGACAGTACAGAACCCTGAGGAACTCTATCGCCCTATCTATAATCTATCGCCCTACGTTCGGAAGAGTAGCCTTCTAAGACCACTCGAATCGAACGTTCACTCAAGAAATCTGAAATCCTATTGCAAAGATCAGTGGGAAGCCCATAAGACGGAAGCTTGCTTAAAAGGCTTGCGTGCCAGACCCTGTCAAATGCCTTAGAAATGTCTAAAGACACTGCAATGGCTTCGCCGTGCTCTTCTATAGCCTCGCTCCATAAGTGAGAGGCATACACAAGAAGATCCCGAGTAGATCGCCCTCTTCGGAATCCGTACTGGCGATCACTGAGGAGATCGTTGTCTTCAAGGTACGACAGGAGACGGTTGTTAAGTACACGTTACATAGTCTTGCAGAGTATGGAAGTGACTGAGATAGGTCTATAGTTGACAGGGTCAGCTCTGCTTCCCTTTTTAGGCACTGGTTGCACATTTGCAAGCTTCCACGACCTGGGAACTGCACCAGTCTCAAGCGAGAAAAGATACAGGCGTGTGAGAATAGGAGACAATTCAGGCACAGTTACGCAGGACTATTGCTGGAATTCCATCTGGCCCACCAGCTTTATGCACGTCTAGACTTCGCAGAGTTCTGAGTACCTCTTTTTGGCGAACTGGCGCCATACTGCATCCAGTCTGAGGTAAAGGAGGTGGTAGGTATCCTGCGGCATCCAGACGCGAACTCTCTGCAAAGAGTGAGGCGAAGAGCTTCGCCTTCTCCTCCGCAGTATGGGCCAGCGAGCCGTCTGGCCTCAGCAGAGATGGTAATGAGTGGCTACTAAAATTTTTTTCGACCGCCTTGGCCAGGGACCAAAAGGACTTGCTGCGTGCTGGAAAAGAGGCGAGCTTGGCTGCTATGCGGTGCACATGGTCGAACTTGGCCCTGCGTAACACACTTTTGCTCTTCTTGGCGGCTTTATTAAAGGCTTTCTTCAGATTCCGAGTATTCGGAGCTTTGCGTAGTCGAGCATCTGCCCAAGCTTGGTACGCAGACTGTTTTTGTGCTTCAGGACGACTACAGTCAGCGTTAAACCATGGACAAGCTTGGGGTCCATTGGGTGCATCGAAGTATGGTATATAATACTCCTTGCCCAATCGCAAGGCCTCAACTACAGCATCAGCACAGCTTGACGAATCTCCTGAAGTAAAGCAAGCCTGCCAGGGATGTGAAGCAAAAAATTTCCGCATTTCGTTCCAGTCTGCTAACCTGTATCGCCACACCCGTCTCGTACCACTGGGGCCGTGATCGGGTGGGGAATATACGGATACAGCTTTCACCAGACAGTGGTCGGATGTACCGAATGGTGCATCCACAACCACCAAGTATCGGTCTGGACCAGTTGTTGGCAGTAGGTCCGAGCAATTGCCCGTATGAGACTCAACATCTGGGATCCTTGTGGCGCCACTGACAAGCTGGGAAAGGCTTAATAATAACGCAAGTTTTCGCGTCTCTCTCCCCCAGCATGATCGGTCATCTGGTATGGGAACAACCATTCTTGATGGTGTGCTTTAAAGTCCCCCAGAATGACTAGTTGCGCCGCTGGATACTTTGGATTGCTTCCGATGCCGTAGACTCCCCGGAACTCATGTCCAAGATTTCTCTTAGATCCCCTACAAAGTCCTTTAGGTTTAATTCACTTTTGTGCGTACCAACGGCCTCTTCGAATTTTCGGCGGAATGCGTATCTCTTACGTGCGAGTAATAGCTTCAATGTCCAACCAGGTTGACATTGACCTTTTTAACACTGGTGTGGCAACGGTGAAGCGTCTTATTAGTAGTTTGTTTTTTAAGTGTTGCGAAAACGTATATATATAGTATAGTTAGTAGTTATATAGTTATAATTCAATGCTCATTTACTTAATGTGTGTCTACCGGTGAGGATCTATAATAGGCTCTCCATAATTATTTCAGTTTTTACTCTATAAGAGAGCCGTTGGTCTTCCAATAAATTAAAATAAAAAAATAAAATAACCGTGTTCCGGTTTTGAAGGGTAAGAGTGCTGGTGAAATTACAGGCCACAGTTGGACGGTCAGTTCAATACCGTCCCGCACTAAAAAGTTTGGCAATTCGTTTTTATGCCGAACCATCAAATTGTGGAACCAACTCCCGGCGCATGTATTCCCTCCCCTCTATAACATCGGGTCCTTCAAACGTAGTGTGAAGAAGCATTTGGCCAGACCGGCAAAATGATAGTGACGGAGTGAAGATATTTGTGTTTTCCATCCGTTACTCTCATCTCTGGACTGTATTCGCACTTTCCATCAGGCGCGGTGCAGTCATTTTGCCGAGTCACAATAAAAAAAAAAAAAAAAAAAAAGGCACATGGGACTTGTCTCAGAGGGACGGGCGCAATGGCAGCGCCTCTCAAATTTTTGCGATTTCAAAGTTCTGAGTGGCAATACAACTGTTATGGACAGGCGTGTAGCTTACCATAAGGTGTACGACTTGTCCGTCCTGTCACTTGATATTATAATAAAAAGGAAAAAAATGTAGCAATTATCATCAAAAAGGTAAATTCTGTTACATGTGTAACTTTACATGATTATTATCTAAGGCTAACAATTACTCTAATGTAGAACAATTCTTTATTATTAATATTAAAGAACTCGACTTGCTAGTAATTATTATTTATAACAATATACAGTCAGTTATCAAGTACATACACAGCAAATGCATGTCATCATAAACACATTGGTTGCTTATCAAACGCAAAACAAACTTACTCTTCTTATCAGTCTTGTTGTTTTCCAATGCCCCATATAAGTACTTCATTGCACCGAAGATAATAACTGGTTTTGTTGTGTTATTAAACTTGCTTGCTTTTATATTTTGTGTGTGATAGATCAGTTTTTAAGTGATTTGAAATTATATGAAACTTTTTATTTCGACGCTGGAAAGGTAAAACGTGTTAGATGTTTTGAAAACGTCGGCAGAACACGTTAACGTCGTATTAAATATGGCAGAGTTTGGCAAATTTGGGAATATTCAGCAAGTTCTTTATTATTTTTGGGAAAACACTGA